ATCCTTTTAATTTACCATTAGTGTTGAAGACTTCTCCAACACTCTTACCACAATAAGAACTTACGTGAGGAATAAAACAGACCAAATAGGTTCTACCCCTTACCCATAATCACTTTTATTCATGCTATGATAAGGAGTCTGGGTAAGTTTTATAGTTATGATCACATCTATCTAAATACAAAATAAATTCATTAACTTCAATGATACACTAAGGAGATGTTCAAAATTAAAAGAATAAAAAGAGGGGGGAAAGGTCGATAATAGTTTTGGTAACTATGCATATTTTTACTGTATATAGCTGCTGTCAAAAGAGGCAAAATAATGCCTTCTACACACCTATTTTCCACAACCAAATAAGTAAAAGCCACAGCCTGTTCCTAACAAAAAAAAAAAATTTTAGGCATTATATTAAGTAACCTCTAAATTCAATTAATCAAGAACCTATAATACAATAAGCGTTATGCAGAGTACCTGTTTAGAGGAGAGTATATTAATGTATACACCACAAAGTTAATGTGGTCTCCACCCTCTAGGAGCTAGGGATCCTGTAATTTAAATGTGAAGAATACTGAATCAAAGGGGGAGGGAACTAGAAAAAGTGAAATTCCTTCCCAAATACAAAGTAACATTATTCAACAAATTAAGACACATATGCAATATTAACTACAAATCTTTTTTTTTTTTTTAATTTTATTTATTTGACAGAGAGAGAGAGCGCGAGAGCAGGAACACAAGCAGTGGGAGTGGGAGAGGGATAAGTAGGCTTCCTGCCCAGCAGGGAGCCCGATGTGGGACTCGATCCCAGGACTCTGGGATCATGACCTGAGCCGAAGGCAGACGCTTAACGACTGAGCCACCCAGGCGCCCTATATTAACTGCAAATCTTACACAGAATTCAACCTACCCTCCTTTAACTTTTAATACTTGTCAGATATTAAGAACTTATTAAAATTTGTAGGATCAGGTATCTGGAAGAGGAAGGCCTACAATAACTGATTTATCCCTGGAAAGAAACTTACAATAAATACAAGCAACCTATAATACTGCTATAATATTACAGTAATATTATAATAGAGCAAAAAAATTCAGATCTACTGTGGGTTAAATTATACTTCCAATTCATAATTATATGCAGTAAAGCCCCTGATGTGACAGAAAACAACCTAATAGCTATACTTCATTAGGTTTCCAAAAAAAACCCTCAGCTCTAAAAAATCATGAAGTACTTTGTACCTCATCTTTCACACTTACATCAATTAACTTCAGGAAATCCATTGGTTAGGTATACCATCTACCTTTCGCGAAAGGAAGCCCAGACAAAGAATGATATAACCACTGGATCAACTAATGAATGATTCTTCTACCACTCAAGGCCAAAACCGAAAGTGTGTGTCTTAGACATTTTAAGCATACAACTATTGTAACTACTCAAGAAACTTGGAAGTGGGCTAAAAACTGGAGATTTTCTTTCATAACATGCACTAGTGACCTAATATTCTAGAGCTCCTAATAAATTTAGCTAGTATCTTCACATCATCTGTAATACAATTCTAAAAAGTCTTCATTTTAAATAGCAAAATATTCTTAACAATAAATTTGATTTAGGGGCGCCTGGGTGGCTCAGTCGTTAAGCATCTGCCTTCGGCTCAGGTCATGATCCCGGGGTCCTGGGATCGCGCCCCGCATCAGGCTCCCTGCTCTTCGGGAAGCCTGCTTCTCCCTCTCCCACTTCCCCTGCTTGTGTTCCCTCTCTTGCTGTGTCTCTCTCTGTCAAATAAATAAATAAAATATTAAAAAAAATAAAAATTAAATTAAAATAAATTTGATTTAGGTGATGAAAAGGGAGAATTTTATGGTATTTGCACTGTTTTTCAATAAAATATATTCTCCATGAAGGAGGTGGGAAAAATAAATGTTCCAGTATGTCCTCCTATTGTTAACCCAAATTCAAACTCCACCATAGCTTCAAGTCTCTGCAAATGCAATGGGCCCAGTTCAGAGTAGATAACTAGATTCCACTATACAGTACTTCAACTTCTTTTTTCATTTTTTAATTAATAAGATCTCTTTTCTTTAGCTTCTTCCTACTTACCCTTTGGCTTTTTCATTCCCTCCTCGTTAGCACCTCCAATAGGACAAACCAAAAAGGAGATGAGACACTTGAATATTTTCCCCCCACGGTAAGGTTTGGTGAAGGCGAAGCACCCAATCTACCACCTGAAACAAGGCCTCATGATCAACTGTGGGTTTCGCAAATCCATGCAATTCTTTAGGAACTGCGGCACTAAACGGGAGACGTTTTTGAGGTTTGAAAAAAGATAATGGTTTCTTTCTGTGTCTCCTGAGCCTTAACATTCTAAGAAAATAAGATGGCTCATTCTTTAGGGCTTGTCTTTCTCTATTGGGACAATAGGTAACTGGTATAAAGATTCTCGGCTATACTGGCGGGGAAACAGCTTCACGTACAAATTTACCAACAAACCTAGCGTCCTGAGAAACCAACTCTCGCCCAGAAATCAGATCCTTGAATGAAGCCCAGTTCTTTTTCCGAATGGGTGTTTTCTCCCTTACAAATACCCCAACCCCTTAATCCGTGACACAGCCTGCACTGGGACCTCTCCTCGTTCAGCTGGGCTCCGGTGTGAGTTCCACTCGCGGCAAACTGTTTGCCGAGTCGCGTCTGGGAAACATAAACGGCCCGCAGAGGGCCACAGAGAAGCGTGTCCCCGCGAGGACGCGGCCCGCCAGTGTCTGGTTTCGCATTTTGAATCCCGAGTAGGAAGTGAGACGGCGCCCGCTCAGTTCCGGGAGCCGCGGCGTCCGCGGCGCCGTCCGGAACCGGCCTGGGCCGCGGCGGCCCCCGCGCAACAAGTGCCCCGCGCGCGCCTCGGTCCGCGCGCCTCGGTCCCCGCGCCCCTGCCCCGCCGACTTACGATTTCCGAGCGGCCGTCGCGGCAGGCGTTCTGGAAGCGCGCCTGGCGCTCCTCGTGGGGCCGGTCCCTGAAGCCCGTGTACTTAATCTGCAAGGCAGAGACGGCCCGAAATCAGGAGCCAAATCCGCGACGCCGCCTGCGCGCCCGCCCGGCCCGCAGATAAGGCCAAGCAGAGTCTGCGGGCAGGCGGCTGCCCGGGCGAGATTGCCCCTCCGCCGGGCTGCCCGGGGCCGCGCCGCCCAAACTTTTCTCCGCCCGGGCCCACTCGGGGCGCGCCGCGGCCTCCGCGCCGCCCGCCTGCCTCACCTCGCATTCGCGGCTCAGCTTCCTGAAGAACTCCTCGTTCTCGAACTTGCTTCTCTGGTCGGGCACGACGCGCGGCATCTTCCCGCTCTGAGGCCGCGCCGGCCGGCCGGGCTCCGGGTTTGCGCGGCACCCGCTGGCCGGCTTCGCGCTGACCGACTGACCGCCCACCCGCGGCGCCCTGACTCTGGCTTCCCTTTGTTTCAGGCGCCCGCCCGCGTGGGCTCCCAATCCCGGGAATCTGAGGTGCAGCCGCCCGCTCGAGCCCAGCCCACGCCGCCGCCGCCGCCGCCTCAGCCGTTGCCTACCGCCCGCGCGAACCCAGCACTCGCCGCCCCTGGCCGCCGCCGCCGCCACTTCCTCTCGCCGCCCACCTCGCAAGCCCGCCCGTCCGCCCCGCCCCGGTCGGCCCCACCCCTCCTCCTCGCGCGCCCGCCCGCCCCAAACTCCGGCAAACAAAACGCACCATTCACAACTCTGCGACCCGCGCCGCGCATGCGCCGCCCGCCCGCCTGCGGGGCGGCTGGGCTGCCGCGAACCAGAGCTCCTCCCGCGGCGCGGCCCTCTTTCCCTCGCCCGCCCGCGGGCTGCTCGGGGCAGAACAGCTCTGCGGGCATTTGCCCGGACCTTGGAGACGGGAAGCGGCCCGCGCGGGTCCTTTCTGTCGGCTGTATGGAACTTTGGGGCTCTTCAGCTGCTCGGAATGACCCCAAATTGTCACCTGAACGTGAGGAAACCTAAGTCCTTGGGGACTTTGTGTCCCACAACCGATGGGGAGGGATGTAGGCTCTTCCTATCGAAGACTAAAGACCACAGAATCCAACTGAATCCGCATCATGGTGGAAAGGTCGGAGTTGCTGGGAGTCAGACAGGCCTTGGCTGGGATCTCGCTCCGCTGCTTACACAAGCCTTACATAAGCCCTGGATGCTAAGCCTCAGTTTGCCTATTTGCAAAACGCAGACACAAGCTCTCACGGTAATGAGCACTCAATAAGTTTAAGTCTCTAAAGAAGAAAAGCTGAATTATATGTAAACCTAATGCCAGTCCATATATTTACCCAAATGTGCAATCAAACTGTAAAAAAGATCCACAAGTTTTAGGGAAGTCATTTGGCCCAAGCTGGAGAGAGTTTGACATGGGATTTATGGCAGAGGTTGACTCAAATGATCCTCAATAAATTCTGACCCTTAAAATTGCAGCGAGTCAAAAACTCAGTGCAAGGTTGGCAAATAGGTGCCAACTCTGACAGTAGCTGGCTATATTGCAAAGGATTGTGAGGATACAATGTCGGCCTGAATGCAGGGTTTGGCAGAATTTCCTACCCCTGCCTAGTTCAATCTCAGTTTTGCAGATATGGAACGGAGCTAGGGTGACCAACTGTCCAGTCTTCCAGAGACTATTACAGTGAAGGTCCCATGTCCTAGGAAACCATTGGTTGGCAAACTGGGATGGTTGGTCGTCCTGAGGTCCAGAGATGAATCAATTGCCCAAGGTCAGGGAGGGAGTTTTTAGCGAAGTCAAACCTGTAGGCTGGTGGTTTTAACAAACACACTTTCTGAATAGCAAACAATCAACTGTCTCCAAGGGCATTCTTTCCCAGTCCATATGAAACCTGTGTGAATATATGAGTGTGCACAAATAGAAAGGGTATAGATACGGATGTCAGCAAACACTACCATTGGGCCTCCATCTATCTCAGAATCTTCCCTCAGGTCTCTCTCTCTCTTTTTTAAGATTTTATTTATTTATTTGAGAGAGAGAGAGTGAGAGAGAGCATGAGAGGGGAGAGGGTCAGAGGGAGAAGCAGACTCCCCGCTGAGCTGGGAGCCTGATGCCGGCTGGATCCCAGGACCCTGGCATCATGACCTGAGCCGAAGGCAGTTGCTTAATCAACTGAGCCACCCAGGCGCCCCTCCCCGCCGCCCAGGTCTCTTTCAATTGCAAGTGACAGAAACCCAATTCAAGCAAACTTAAAGGTAGAAAGGGGCCTGTTTTATTGTAAGTAAATAAATGAAACAGAAGGAGGGATAGTCTCCTTTTCTTTTCCATTTCTCCATTTCTTCTCACTGCTTAACTTTCTCAAGCTTTCTTCATTGGCAGCCATTTCCTGGCAAAGGATGGGAGCAGCCACTTCTCCATCTCTAAGTCATAAAATTTCTGGGAAGGACTTTGATTGGCCCAGTCTGGATCACATACTCTTCCCTCTATCAAATCACCATGTCCAGGCTGATATGATGACATGGGCCAGCTTATGTCACATGCTCTCCCACCAGGGGTTGGGGGGCCTGGGATAGGCAGCCTCAGATAGAACCTGATGGATTGAAAGAGGGGAAGAGCAGTTTCTCCAAAAGGGGGGAATGAGAGTGCATTGTGGGTCCATTGAGCAGTTTCTATCAGCTACATCTGGCAAAGGATACCATCTTTATTTTGCTGCCTAAGGGTTCTGATGAAACTGGAGAGGGAAACTCCAAATCAGCACAGGCAAAGCGCAGGCAAAACCAGCCTTAAAACATCTGCAACTTATGTTGAGAGGTGGGTGAGGCAGCATTCACCCCAAGGCACCAAGGCAGAACTAAGTCCCTCACAAGGAACAGAAACTTTCATCCATCTGCTGTGTCTACTTTAAGTCTTCCCCAGTCCAGCCAAGACCTTTGGACACTAGGACAATGCAGCCATTGTCTAAATGAGAGGAGAACGATGTGGCCTTCAGACAGTCAACAGGACCATCTGAAGGCCACTGGTCAGGGGAGCAGAGTTCCTGACGGTCGCCTCCATGGTAGGAAGAGAGTATATCCCATGTCACACCATTTGGCACCACCATATTCTGTTTAGACAGGCATTAGTATAAAATTTTCCATTTCTGTCTTTAAAGAATGATCCACACGGCAGCACTCTTACTCCAGCGGGTCCGGGTAGGGTTCATGGACCTGCAGCCGATCTTGGCGGAGGGGTGGGAGTACAGAGCAGGGCAGAGCACATGAATTGTCAGCCTCATGGGGGCGGGGAATGATGTCCTGAGGGAAAGGGATGAGAAAGCCTGCCAGGCAAATCCAGAACAGCAGCACCACAGACAGCCTTTGGCAACTCCAGGCCACAGGATAACCCACTGGGCATTGTCTGGCGTCCAACCAGCCAGGACGACTGGGAAACCGGCCGCAGGCTGGAGGAGGCCATCTCCTCGGCTGACCTCTGTATGCCTTTTTTGTTGTTGTTGTGAAAGTTTTTTCACTTACTTTAAAAATGAGATGAAAAGAAATTAATAAAGGAAAAGTTCACACTTGTCAGGTGTATTTAACCCTGTGTTTCTGTCTGGCTGGGTATGGATTGGTCCAGGCACCACCCTATGGAGGGGTTTGCAAAGAGCCAGCTCTAGCAGGGTCGGTCCATAGATGGAAGCCTGTGGGTATCTGTTCTTTGCCTAGAAACACCCTTCCCACTCCAAAAACCTGGCCAATTCTCTCTGAAGCCCTGCCATTTGGAGCCTTCCTTTCCTAAGTATTCAGCCAGCCCAGGGCCTCTTCTTTCTTATCTTCCTGGGTGGGCAGCTGCTCCTACAGGACTCCCTGACTGATCTTGAATGGGTGCGCAGAGAATGCACAGTAACACTGAGCAGGGGATGAGAACTCTCAATTGTTCGGCTCAACTGTGAAGCTGTGAGTTGGGTGCTTTTATGTCCCTTATCTCAGTTAATTCAGAGAACCACTTTCTAAGACAAGTTTTCTTGTCCTAATCGGACAGATGAGGAAATAGAGACTCTGAAACAACAAATAAGTGAACATAGGACGGTGACAAGACCTTGACTCATTAGAGATAACAAAATGGCATTGGTTTAGATCATCTTCATTCACTCTTCACCATAACCCTGCATTTTGGTATGATTGACCCTATTCTACAGATGAAGGAACTGAGGCTCGGAAGGGCTGGCAATCCCAGGGCTCTGCTCTTAACTGTTCCACCCTAAGACATCCGCTGGTAGAGCTGCCAAAAGTGCTGCTCGTCTCTCTAGCTGAACTGCAAACTGTTGGACAGTTGCAACTGGGGTCATTCCTCCTGGAGCACCCGATCATGCTCCCAAAGGGTCCCCAACGGGCTGAATGAAGGGATCCTATTGTGGGCCTTGTGGCAGGATGTGTTTCTTGACCTTGACGGTTGTGCATTCCTGTCCCCTGAGCCCAGCTGTTTGTCCTTCCTTGGCTTGGAAGGTCAAGGCCTAGACATCCTGCCTCCTTAAGTCCGGCAGAAAGGATGGCTTTATCCAGGTCTGGTGTCAGCCGCTCCCCACACCTGCCTCTCCTCATAGAGAGGGTGAGGTCTTCCCAGGCCCCTGAGCCTCTAGTGTGTTTTTTTTTTCTAAGGAAACAGTTTCCCTCCAGTTACTGAGGAAATATTGTGCCATCTTGAAGCTGAAATAGGATCTGGAGCCACAAATGAGACTTGATGGTGGTGGGAGAGAAGGGAAATTAATGGCTGGCACAGCTCCTAAAGCCCCAGCTCTACCTAGCTTCTAGCTTGGGGATGGAGATGGGCCTAAGTCCAGAATGAGGGTGTCATCTGCCAAATTAAGCTGTTTCCTGGGCCCTAAAGAATTCTTTTTTGAGATATAATTTATCTACACCATAAAATTCACCCCTAGGCCCTTAAGAATTTCCCCTCCCAGGAGGTTCTCCCCCTTCTTAGCTCCCCTACCACCCTCCCCCACCAGCTCAGCCATCCCAGAGGGAGAGGAAAACCGAGAGGAGCAAGTTTCCCTAGAATAGCATTTCTTCAGTGTTGGGATCAATAAACCCGTTTGCTTAAAAGGAACCAGATGATTTCATCCTTGTAATTACAAGTTTGACGTTTGCAAATCTTGCCCAGGCTCCAAATGAGCCTCTTTGTCATGGGAGGCGGAGGGGTTTTGTCTGGGTGCCTGGGGATGGCGACCGAGCCTTGAATCTGGGAAGAGGGCCAGACTGGGGTCAGGAGGCCTGGCTGACCAGTCTTCGAGGGTTATTTGGGACTGCTCCTCTTCTCCTCCCCTGCTCTCCAAGTTTCTGGCTGGTGATGGGAAACAGACGAGTCTAGGGGACTAGAGAATGGCAGTGGTGAGCTCTAACTGCACTGCCCCTCCCCCCAAACCCCTCCCCCAAGCCTCTGATTTGCCTATGGCAGGAAGTCTAGGGCCCTCAGCCCAGCATTCATGACTTCCTTTCCATTCCAATCCCATCTCCCATCATTTATCCCCATTGGCATGCTGCAATCCAGCCATTCCGACCTGATTACCTTCCCACATGCTTCAGAGCCTTTGCTCTTACTGTACCTTCAGTCTAGCATGACTTCCTCCCCTTTCTCTGCTGTGAAAACTCACACTTTTTCTTTAAACACAAGTTCAGGAGCCTTTGATTGTCCTCCATAGACTGACTACCCCACTGGGTCCCTCACTCTATCATTTGGGTCCATACAATGCGTCGATGCATTGGGGTCAGCCCATGTAGGACATGGCAGCACCCTGTGAGGATTTGGCTCCCACTAATTTATGTTCATTTTACTAATGTGCAGCCTTCATATGAGTGTCTCTCACCCCACACTTGCATTTTTTAAATTTATTTAAAACTTGCACATATTTCTGTAGAAAATTTAGGAAATACAGGAAGAGAGTCTCACCACCTCAGAACAATCATTGCTACATTTAAGTATATGTTCTTTAGCCTCTCTCCATCTACATTTCTTCACATAGTTATGATGTTCTATAGGAACAGTTTTGAATGCTCTGTTATCACCTAACATTATGGCATAAATATTTTCTCATGTAATCCTATAAAACTCCTAATGACATCCTGGCTGATCTCCTATTGTTGGGCATTTATTCAGGTTGTTTCCTATTATTTGCTGTTTTAAAATAGGCTTCTGTGAACATCATGGTGCTTACTGGTTTTTCTTAAAAGTTTTGGATAGTGTTTTTAGGGTCAATTTCCAGAAGTAGAACCACCGTGTCAAAAGGTATGGGAATTTTAAGGTTCCTGGTATCTGCTGCCAAATTTCTCTTTGGCACTGACTCTTCTTTCTTCTTGAGTCTTAAAAACCCTTCCTCCCCCCATTTCTCTTCTCAATGTCTCAGACACAGGAAATGCCAACCAAGAATAAACCAAGACCTGCAGATAGAGATCAATGGATCAATAAAGGAGGTTGAATAATTCAACATTCACTTCTGGCTCATTATCGACTCTTGAATCCAAATGCATCCTCTCTTACCTTCTCTCCTTTTGTCTCCGTGCTGATGATGCCTCGACACCATGTCCTGTTCTTGGATTCTTCCCCAAATTTTCCAAGCTCTAAACCATCCTAGCAGGCAGGGTTTCCCATCATGCTGTAATATCGTCTTGCAAATAGGCAGACAGAATCACTAGCCCATAGCCTCCTCACCAGTCCTCCTTCCCTCTAGGAACACAAGAGGGACAAATAAAGCAGACAATAATTCTCTTCTTCTAGATGATAATTCTGAGTGAATGGGCAATGAATTTGGCTTCAGACTGTTCTAGTCCTGGTTAACTTCCTCAGTGTAGCTTGTTTTTTTCCCCCTTTCTCAGCCAGGCAAATTCATACTCTTTCATTAAATGTGGGGTCTGGGACGCCAGGGTGGCTCAGTGGGTTAAGTGTCTGCCTTTGGCTCAGGTCATGATCCCAGGGTCCTGGGATCGAGTCCCGCATCAGGCTCCCTGCTCCTTGGGAGCCTGCTTCTCCCTCTGCCTCTCTCTCTCTCTGTCTCTCATGAATAAATAAATAAAATCTTTAAAAAAAAAAAAAAGGCACCGTTGATAGCTTCCCCAGCCCACCTGATGCTAGGGAAGCTTGCTCCTCCTGCCCCAGGGGAGCTCCCAGGAAGCCTTGCAGCTTAGGTAGTGTTGGTGATTGAGATGGACACAGAGATGAGCCACCTAGATCCCTCTTCAGTGAAGGACTGAGCAGCTGGGATTGCTCTCAGCCCTTTCTGGGATTCCCTGAGCTACAGAGAGCTACCTGCAAGTCATTCTTTCTTTCTGGGCAGCTTATATCCAGTGATGGGGGAGGGGTGTGTAAAGGCCCAGCAGAGCAATGCTGATGGGTCATATTAGCTCTAGGGCTCCCTAGAGTCACCTGAAACTGTTGCTGGGCTACAGTATAGCTTGACTTCTTCCTCTACCCAATTCTGCTTTTTTCCTCTCCCAGCAACATGTTTTGATCCCAAGGACACTCCTTTTTTTTTTTAATTTTTAAAAAATATTTTATTTATTTATTTGACAGAGAGAGTGAGAGCACATGCCAGGAGACAGAGGGAGAGGGAGAAGCAGGTTCCTCGCTGAGCAGGGAGCCCGACATGAGACTCGATCCCAGTACCCTGGGATCATGACCTGAGCCTAAGGCAGCCGCTTAACCGACTGAGCCACTCAGGCACCCCCCCAAGAGCACTCTTTAATAAACATCTTGCAGGGCGCCTGGGTGGCTCAGATGGTTAAGCGTCTGCCTTCGGCTCAGGTCATGATCCCGGGGTCCTGGGATCCAGTCCCGCATCGGGCTCCCTGCTAGGCGGGGAGCCTGCTTCTCCCTCTGCCTCTGCCTCTCTCTCTCTCTCTGACTCTCATGAATAAATAAACATTTTTAAAAAATAAAAATAAAAAAATAAACATCTTGCAAGCAAAACTTTCTAGAGCACTTGACCTGTAACAGTGCCAACTAGTTATTCCCAAGAGAGCTTCACCCAGTGCCATCTCCCTTGGTATGCTTGGGTCTGACCTGACTTAGAGAGTCTGGCCAATGAGGCGCTGTGGGGAGGTCACTTTATAAATGTGTTTTACGGTCTTGTTAAGTTTTATTTATTTATTTAAAGATTTTATTTTTTAAAAAGATTTTTTTTAAATATTTTATTTATTTATTTGAGACAGAGAGAATGAGATACAGAGAGCATGAGAGGGAGGAGGGTCAGAGGGAGAAGCAGACTCCCTGCCGAGTAGGGAGCCCGATGCGGGACTCGATCCCGGGACTCCAGGATCATGACCTGAGCCGAAGGCAGTCGCTTAACCAACTGAGCCACCCAGGCACCCTAAAAAAGATTTTATTTATTTATTGAGAGAGAGAGCGAGAGCACGAGCGGGGGGGAGGGGTAGAGGGAGAAGCAGACTCCCCATTGAACAGGGAGCCCGATGCGGGGCTTGATCCCAGGACCCTGGGATCATGACCTAAGCCGAAGGCAGATGCTTAACCAACTGAGACACCCAGGCTCCCTAAAGATTTTATCTTTAAGCAATCTCTACACCCAATGTGGGGCTCAAACTTATAACTCTGAGATCAAGAGTCACATATTCCACTGACTAAGCCACCCAAGCGCCCCTGTTAAATTTTATTTTTAAAAGCCTTTAAAATTTTGTTTTGGAAGAGACATGAGCCATTTGGGGACAACAGTGGTTGTCTGGTATGAGTTGAGATGCCTCACTTGTAAAATATGGACACTATATAACATTTGCTTTAGTAAAAGTAAATTTCCAAACACTCTCATTGGACTTTCCCAAACTCCTTCAAAGTAACGAGAGAAGAAATTACTGTCCTATTTTGCAGCTCAGAAAATCGGGACTCAGAGTAAGTGACTATCTAAGAGCGTACAGCACAGAGAGAGATCCCAGAAGAGCAGAGGTGTCCCGAAGTTGAAAAAATTCAGTCTCTTTATTCTTTGTTAGAGTAAGCTGATGTCAGAGAGTTTCATGACTTGTCTAAGATCCCAGAGCTGGTTACTTAGTTTTTTAATCTGTAAATTGAGGACAAAGTCATCTACTTGTATCTGTCAGGACTGTTTTGGGGACAGAAACCCAATTAAAATTGCCTTACACGGGGGTGCCTGGGTGGCGCAGTTGGTTAAGCATCTGACTCTTGGTTTTGGCTCAGGTTGTGATCTCCACGTTGTGGGACTGAGCCCCACGTCAGGTTCCTCACTTAGCATGAAGTCTGCTTGGGTTTTTCTCTCCCTTTCCCTCTGTCCCTCCCCTCTAAAATAAATAAATAAATCTTTTTAAAAATTGGCTCACACCAAAAAGGGAATGTATTAGCTCATTTAGCTGATAACTCTAGGTGTATAAGTGACTTCAGGCATGGCTGGATCCACGTGTTCAAGCACTGGCACAGGAATCTGTCTATGTCTCTGTCTCTCTCGGTCTCTTGGTTCTGTTTTTCTGTTTTAGTTTTATTCACATGCTGACTTACCCTCCAATGGTGAGAACTGCTCTTTCCTGATATTCCCACAAAAATCCTGGGTTGACTTTAATAGGCTTTAATAGTTTGGGTTACCTGCTCATCCCTGAACTGTGGACATTGAATTGCTGTCGAGAGGGTAATATTGCAAGAATGGATGTACTGGGCAGGCAAAAACACCAGACGGTACCTGGGTTAGTGCCTGGTACAAGGTTACAAGCTCTGAAAGAATGGTGGCTATGACAATCTTAAAGGTCCCTTCTGGCTCTGAAATTCTAGGATGTTTACAACTCTATGCTTTGATACAAATCCAACTATAAATGTTGGCAGTCAAGGGAAGCCTGGGATAACAGTTTGAGTTCATACAAGGTCTAGTTAAAATACCATAAAATGAGCTGAGAAGGGCCCTGAAAAGGAACACATGCTCTCCTACAGCAGAGGGTAGCTGCCTGTGGCTTGCCTCCTTTTGTAGCTGAGGCAGGCGAGAGGCAATGACAGAATGACAGGTGTGACCCCGGAAGGGATTCCCTGAGGCCCTGGGGGCTGCTATGTCCATAGCTCTCTCAAAGGATCTTGCTTCTTTTAGCATTGAATGACTTGGCTGGACCAGCTCTGGGAGCTGAAGGCAGCCCAGGATGGGCTGGCGGGAGTGCATTGGGCTGCAAAGACTGCCCAATGTGGCTGCTTTGGTTAGGTGGTGACCAAGCAATCCCCCAGTCAGAGGCATGTGTGGTGTAAGGGTTGTGTGTAGGTGGCAAGCCCAGAGGAGGCAGGGCTGGAGCTCCGGTCCCAGCCAGGCTCTCATTCACATGGTAAACCAGGTAAGTGGTGCCCCCTGGAGGTTAGTGCTGCAATAGCTCGTCTGTCTGCCCTACCTGGACACTGTGGGAGGGAGGCCTGTGCCGCCTGGGACAATGGGTTCCTGGCTGTTTCCCGGCTTTTCACATTAGATTCCCACTACCAAGAGCTGTTTGGGTATCCTCCTTCTTTGAGAAAATTATTCTTTTCCCAGATGTGCTGAGTATTGTAGGTGGATTGGTCGCCTGGAAGCTAGGCAGTTAGGATTTCTCCTGGCAGGGAGGATCAGAGAGGCCAACTGAATGTCTGAGGTCACACAGCAGAGGAACAGTTGTATTAAAACTCAAGATCCCTGCCCATCAGTGGCCTTTCCTAGCACAGCAGAGTTCCATGTTTCGGGAGTAGCAAACTGACGGTGGTGTTCTGGCAGATGCTGAGAGGCCCAGCAACAGAGCCAGAGTTTTAGAGTCTTGGGCCCGGGGTCTCTGAAAGGACCTGGAAGCCACAGTCCTTCCTCCAGGCCAGAAGAGCTGCTCCTTAGTTAAGAGACATAAATCCGCCACAGGTGTCTCCACCAGCTTTTAATGAATTTTTCTGCCACTGATGCTAATTTCCGGAACGGCTTTTCTTCCACCTTCAGGTTCCCCCTCAAAAGGGTTCTTGCTCCTTAACAGTAGATCCATAATGCAGTGGCTCCTTGGTGAGGTCACTGGCATGCTATTCCACCAGCACCTGTGGCTAAAAGCTGGGAATGGATAAGTCCTGGACCACAGCTGGAGGAGACTGGGGCTGGAGTAGGGTCCCACTGGGATTGTTCCCAGATGCACAGATGAGGAGAAGCAGGCCCAGAGAGGCAGGGGCTTGCCTGAGGACACACACAGAACAGGCCCAGATAAGAATATTCATCCGAAAATAGGTATGCTGAACTCTGCTCTGTGAGACCATCTGATCTTGAGTTCTTTCAGGCTTCAAATGGGTCTTCCTCTCCTTCCCATTTGCCCCACAGACCAATGGGCCCAAACCCAGCTCCTTGTGGCCATGAAGTTATCATTGTGATTTTAGAGAGTAGGAGGCCAGAGTCCTGTCCTGACCAGCTTTCCATGGTGGAGAGGAGAGAAGGGTCTTCCCCAGCAACACTGGGCCCTACCTATGTCCCCACCCTGGACAGGACATCCCCTTGGGGTTTTTCCTGGATCTGGTGGGTAGGGGCTGGGGTCCCCCAGGCCCTAGGAGGGGGTGATGAGTTCCCAGGCTGGGCTGGGTGGGAGAGCTCTCAGCCAGAGTGCCCCCAGGAGCCCTCCGGTGGGGGAGAGGGGGAGTGGTCAGAGCTGGCCTCCTGCTTTTGTCTAAAGCTCCTTGGAACAACAGGACATCTAGGAGTCTCTCTCAACTTCTACCTCCCCTTCCCTCATCTGTCACCAAGTCCTGTCCATCTGCTTTATGAACTTTCTCGCTGTCTTCTATGAAGGACTCATTGTCTAGTTCTGCATTGCCCTCCCCTGGTTCCTCCAATTCTACTCTCCTCCTTTGGTTGCTCTGGATTCTGTAATCTCAAAGATCCTTCTGGAAGGTGAATCTGACCAGAACATTTCCCTCCCATGGCTCCCCAGTGCCTCAGGGTAGAGTCCATGCCCTCTCCCAAGCTTACAAACCTGGTGCCCCAGCTCTGGGCCCGTTTCCCCTCTTAGCCCTCCCATATGGGCCACACTGACACAGAGCTGCTGGGATGGAACAGGCTAATTCCTATCTCCAAGCCTTTGCTCCTGCTGTGCCCTCTAGCTGACACAGCTTCCCCCCTCCCCCCACTGCCTCCATACCCTCCACTCTTTCCTACTGGTCCTTTCAGATGCTCCTCCAGAAGACTTCTCTGACTCACCACGTCACCCAAGTTACGTCAGCATCTCCACTGTGCTCCCACAGCCTTTCCCGCTGACCCTTTCTGTCATCCACCCAAGGTCTCAGTGGCCAGGCAACTGGGATGAGAAACAGATCCCTGCCTACTGCCACCGTCTGAGTACCCAGGTACTTCTCTTTCGCAGCCTGAACAGCCTCAGCACTGCCCTGGCTCTCTGTCCATTTGCCTGTCTGCGTGTGTGTCCACCTGCTTCTGTTTCTTCCCTCCACGCCCTTGACTTTCTGGGTGGATTTTTTCCCTGTCTCTTTTATCTGGCTCTGTTCTTCCTCATGCTTTAATATACTTGCACCTCATTTCATGAAGGACTCAAGGTGGCGTCTTTGTCACTTGCGTCCCTTCCTCACTCAGTCCCCATACGCCAGTTTCTCACAGGTGCTTTCTCTCTCCACACAGTTAATGAATTTGGTATATGGAAAGGGGAGTTCTGACTCCTTTAGAAAAGTGATGTCCTCTCCCTCACAGGAAGTGGGGCCCTTCAGGGCCCACAGCAGGTCACCAGCCCCTCCCTACCAAGGCCAGATGTGAGAGGGCTGGGGGCAGAGGGCACAGAGAAAAGGCCACTCTGAACCCGATGCCACTGCATCCAGCACTGGTCAGGAGCCTCAGCACCTTTAACCCAGGCCCCTGTGGCACTGATGGGGCAGTCCCACAGAAGAATTGTGAAACTTTCTCCTGAACCCTCCCCCACCGCATCTTCCCTTCTAGAAACTTGAGCCTCATCTAGGGTGTCTTGGGCATAGGCTTCCCTTGTCCCTCACTACAGGGCTCCAGTGTGTCCAGCTTGGGCTGGGAAGGGGTCAGTTGGGGAAGGTGAAGCCTTGAAGTGGTGGCACCTGACCCTACTGCTCCTCTTCCAGCCCCTCTCCTTCACCTGATGCCTCCCTGGACCTCAGAGCTTCCATAAGCTTGGGATCCCGGCCAAGCCCCTGGAGCATCCCCCCAGGCAGCCTGTGGGCTCTTGGAAGGCAGGATTGATCCCTTTTGGGTCTCCTAGAGTCCACAGGTGGCTAGTCACGGCACGGGACCCTGGGGAGGAAGTCCATGACTCATCCATCGGTGATGAGCGCCTGTGGCCCTGTGCTGCCCACCCAAACTCCTGCCCACCTCCCGGCCACGGGGGCACTAGCCAGCATGGGCTTCCACGGCCACCAGCAGGGAACTGCTCTGGGCGCGGCCAGCCCAAGCGGGGCCCTGGAGAGCCTGAAGCCAGGAGAACCACGAGACCGCAAGGGCCTTGGGCAGAGCCCACCCCTGCCCCGAACGCCTGCGTCGCCTGCCGGAGACCGGGGCCGCTCCGTCCCACCGCGCCGCCTGCCGCCCGCCGACTGCTGGCTGGCGCAATGGGCACGGGCCGTCAGGGGCGCAGGAGTCCTCCCCGGGAGGGAGGCCCCGTTCCGCTGCCCACCCCTGCCTCCCATCCCCCCCACCTCCCCGTCCCCCATCCCCCCGCCTTCAATCCCCCCCCCCCCCGCCCCGTACTCACGCCCCCACGGCGGCGACTTTCAGCTCCTGGCGCCCTCGCGTCCGCCCGGGCTCTGGCCCCGCGCCAGGCGACTGGATCCATCACCGCCGCTAGCGGGAGGCGGGACGGCGGGTCCCCCGGGGCTCCCAGGCCGCCGGCGCTGTCTGCCCGGGCCCGGAGAGCGGCGGCGGCGGCGGCGCTGCGGGGGCTGCGGTCAGCGCGGGCACCGCGGACGCGCCGCGTCTCCCGCACTAATTGGCCCTCCCTCCGCCGCCCTCGCCGTATTTGCTGCTTCGCGGGGCGGGGGCGGGCGGGGTGTCGGAGGGGAGGAACGGGCGCCGCTCCGGAGCCGGGCGCTGGCGGGAGCCGCGTGTGCGCGCTGTTCTACGTTGGCTTTGCGTCCGTGCGCCTTCGTCCTCGCGGCGGCCCCGGCACGCCGCGTCAACCCAGGGAAAAGCCTCTCAAGTGCCCTGGGGCCTTCTCCAAGATCTGAGAACTGCTCCCCGCGGGATGGGGCCTGGCAGGGACTTTAGGAACAACTCTGGGTGGCCGTCGGAGACTCGGGTGCAGCTGGGAAGCCGAGGTGGGCGCAAGCCAGTAGGTAGCCTTCCCCGCCCAGTGGTGGGGGCGGGGGGCAGCAGCGCACAACAAGAGGGGAGTCTTCCTGAGAGGACAGGGTGGGTGTGGGGCAGGGGCTGTGGGGGCAGGGGGCCAGCCCACCATCCTGGCTGACCACGGGAATTCCTCCAGGCTCCAATTCCGAGAGAAGGTCCTAGGTATCCCTGGGAGTCCTTTATGAGCCTGGCATCTGGGGCAGCCTGGCTGAGCCGACTGAACCCTAGTCCCTCCTCAGCCGCACACCCTCCGATCTGGGAGATAACAGCCTCTGGGCAAGTGGCTCTTTGGAGAAGGTTCCTTCCCCAGACATGTGAGAGAGCCTGAGGAGGGAACTGAGGGACCCTCAGAAGCAGGCCTGGACCAACCTGCAGTCAGACCTCTGGACCTCCAGGTCAGGGTATCCTGTCCGCACTCAAGCCCGGCTAGTCCCTGTGGGGCTCTGCACAGGTTGCCCAGGACCACCCTCCAGGCGGCTGAGCTCCTAGCTCTGACTCAGGGTCCCACTGATTGGTTGTTTGGTTGACTGTCCCCTGGTTAGAGGTGGGCAGGGATGTTCTGCTGCCTATGCCTCCCCTGAGAGGAGAGCTGCCACACCTCCTCTGGGGACCATCCTCCCTCAGGGATTGCTCCAAGTCTGGATGGAAGTGGCAGGGTGAGTCAGACAGGCCTGTGTCAAATTCCCACTCTGCCACTACTAGGTCATGACCTGGAGCAAGGCCTTTTATGTCTTGTGTCTGTTTCCTTATCTGTAATACAGATAATAAAATCCATGACACGGTTGTTGTGAAGATAAATATTTGCTTGAAAGGGGTTTTGTCCTCCTCTTCCAACCGTCCCTTTGCTTTTGGGGCTTAGATACTGGGGCATGGAAGATTGGGGGCCTCTGCCCCCCCCCCCCCCTCTGCAGTTTCTAGTTGTCTCAGGGACTCAGGAAGCCCTAGGAATAGAGACTAGCAACATGGTAGTTTGGGGCATAAAACTGTGGGACGCTACACTATTGTTTATAATAGCATTATTCACAATAGCCAGAAGGTGGAGACAAACCAAAGGTCCATCAACAGATAAATGGATAAACAAAATATGGTGTGTATTATTTATTTATTATTTATTCAGTCTTAAAAAGGTATGAAATTCTGATCCATGCTACAACATGGATGCATTCTGAAGACAGTATGCTAAGCAAAATAAGCCAGACACAGAAGGACAAATACTGTATGATTGCACTTCTATGACGTACCTGGGATAGTCAAATTCACAGGATAGAAAGTAGAATAGTGAGTATCAGGGTTTGGGGATGAGAGGAAATAGGGAGTTAGTGTTTAATAGATATAGGGTTTTCAGTTTGGGATGATGAAAAAATTCTGGAGATGGATAGTGGCAGTGGTTACATAACAACATGAATGTACTTAATACCATTGAACTGGGCATTTAAATATGACTAAAATGGTAAACTATATGTTATATATATTTTACCAACAAAAACCTAAACTAAACCAAAAAAACTTGTGGTACAGGTTGGGGTATGCCCAGGTCGAGTTGTAGGAGAGGCCAGAGTGAGGAGTCTGGATGCAGCACCAAGACCTAAACCCATGGACAAGTGAGCATGGGGTATGGGTGTCCTTGAGGGGTACACTTGAGACAGTGAAGAAAAAGCCAGGTGTTTTGCAACCCAGGCAAATTGCCACAGCCCCTGAGTGTAGCAAAGCAGGCTCAGCCCAAGGAAGAACAGGCAGCAGTGCACCCTTCCTCTGAGGGCTCAAATCAAGATGCCATTTGATTTCTCAACCATTTTACAGATGGAGAAATTCAGGTCAAGTCAACATGTTTTTACGGAGGACCATTCCTTGGTCCAGGCTTTGGAGGGACCTTGGGGGGAGGTGAGTAGGGGAGGGCGAGAAGATCCTAAGCTATCAAAGCTTCACTACATGTAATAAGTAACCTGCCCAAGGCCTCAGGCCAGTGTGATGTGAACAGGCACAAGGCTGAGCAGGATGAATGGTAAATGACAAGCTGGGTGCAATGCCAGGGGCAGTGGCAGTCTGGGTGGCTCCCAAAAGAAGGGGCTTCAAGTTGACCTTGAAGGGTGGGAGGATTTGGAGAAGGAAGAGTAGGGTTTGCCCTAGGGCTGGGCACAGCGTAGCAGGAAAAGGACCTGGCCTAACCTGATGGCATCATGAGACAGGGGGCATCATGGTATGTCAGGCCGAACAGGGTAGTGCAGGGCCCCAAACAACAGGCTAAGGCTCTAGCTCTGGCCTGGAGATAGGAGGGAGCCTCTGCAGGTCTTACATTGTAGAAGGCAGGACGCTTGTCTCAGATGTGTCCATGGTCAGTCTCCCCAAGACTTAGGTGGTGGGACAATCCCTTAGGCTCCCTACCTGCATAACCACCCTCAAAAATGCCTCTGCTTCTCAGGTCCTCCATGCTGGTGCAGTCTCATCCGAAAGGCCATCTTCTCCTCCTTGAGCTTCACACCCACCCTCACGGTGAAATCCATCCACAGGTACTTCTCTTCCTTGTTGTATTGTGGCCAGTAGGTCAGCTTCCCAACATTGGGGTTTCTGCCCAGAAGGAAGAAGGAAAGAGGATTGTTCACGCTTGTCTTCACCCTGCCTTCTTCTCTTACCCTTCCCTGATTCACCTTCCCTTTGGGAGTTGGGGTCTAAGAAGTCTTTACAGAGATGATATATAGACATAGACCTTTAAGAAAAATTAGAAGACTATGTGGTGGCAAGGGCCTTCCAGGCAGAGGGAACAGTATGTGCAAAGGGTTGGAGGTATGAAAGACCAGGGCTTTTGGAGGAAGCAAGTGTAAGGTTACAGAAAAACATGGGGTGTGTGAAGAGAATGGATGTGGAAAGAGGATGACACAGTAAAGATTTTGAAGATTTTCATGCCAAGAGGCTAAGGGCTTGGGACTTTAGTCTGGGAGTAGAGGGAAGCCATGAAGAGTTCTAAACAGGTGAGTGGCTTGGTCTGATGATATTTCACAAAGATCCCTTGAGTGTCATAAGGGAGATGGATGGTAAGGAGAGAGAATGTGGAGATGAGAGACTAGTCACAAGGCTAGCCAAAGCTCAGCCCATGTGTCACCTCTGCCAGGAAGCCACTCCTGCCCATCCAGGCTCAGTCAGACACCTTCTCTGTGCTCTCAAAGTACCTTCTGCTCCCCCCTCCCCAGTACAGCAACTTAATGTTTTTGTTATAACATTAACAAGCCGCTAGAGGATGCGGGTCATGTCTGCAAGATTCTTGAATCCCAGCTCCCAGTATAGGGCTGGGTAAAAAACAGAGCATTATGAATGCATGAGTGAATGAAGAGTGTGGTCATGGGACAGAGAGAAACACATCCTAGGGATATTTAGGACCTGGTGACTGGGGAAAGGTGAGGAAGAAGGGGCAGTCTGCTTGGGCTGATTGTGCATTTCCTTTGGGACACGCAGGGACAAATACCAGAAGCAGCTGGCCAGTGGGTCAGATGCCCAGATGTGTTGGGGGACTAGACTCACCCTGTATGGGCAAAGTTGGCCCTGTATTTCATCATCTGGAGGCTCAGCGCCTTCTCCTCAACTGTGGAATGGCCGGGGGTCGGAATATGATATGACATTTGGAACAGAACGTGGGGGGCTAACATCCCACCCTGCTCCTTCCACTATTGCTTCCATACCAAAAGGCTTTCATTTTCGGGAACATTCTAGATTAGGAACTGCCTAGCTCCTTAGGGTCGGTCAATGGAGAGGTGGCATCCCTCACCCCCCACTATCCACCCAGCCCTAGGAGCCTTTCCTATCACCTCTGCCCACCCATCAACCCAGCTGCCCCGAGGCCTTTCGGATGAGACTGCACCTGTCCATCTGGCCTCATGCATCCTTCTGCAGCAACCTTCCACTTTCCATTCTTCCTGCCTCTGTTTCAGAGCCAGCCCTCATCATCTCCTCTGGGATATACCCCACCTTCCCTCCCAGTTGGCCTCCAGGCCTCTGCTCCTATTTCTTTCTAACCCAGTTCAGTACACTGAGCCATCTCTCTAAATGCACATCTGGCTGTCACTTCCCTGCTTCAAATCTTTCCCAGGGTATTTTGAATAAAGCTGTTTAGCTTTTCTGGGCCTCAATTTCTTCATCTGCAGAATGGAGAAAACTTCTCTTTTTGTAGAACTGTAGAAAGAGGAGACTTCCCTTTCTGGATTGTTGAGGGAATTGAATGAATACACAGAAACGGTTTAGAAGAATGTCCAGCACACAGAAAGTGTTCAAGCGTTTCAGTATTATTACTGTGGCGGGTAAAGCCCTGTGTGATGTGGTCTCAGCTCACCTCCGCAACGTGGCCCTCAGAGGGTACCTGACCTTACACCCCCACTCCAGGCACACTCCAGGTCAGTGGTTGCTCCCCAGTCTCCAACCCAGGCCCCTGACTCCCAGGCCTGGTCTGGGCCCCAGCCTTGCCCACAGGACAGATGGTGCACTCTGTTCAGGGGATAGAGCTTTTGGGGGAGGTAGGGAGGCAGGAGGTGCTGGGTGACAATGCTGAGTATCCCCACTCTCAGCATTGTCCTCTCTCTTGGACTGGCTTGGTTTTCTCATCAGCGCTACCCCTGGCCAGAGTGGTACCCTTGGCCGGGGTGAGGGCAGGTCTGTGGACCTGCATGGTCCTGTACACGCACATCTGCACATGCATCTGTGCAGTGGAGGATGCACTCATGGATTGCGGACCTGAGTCTGTGCTGGGTCTGCCCGGGGACTGCACTCACCAGTCCCGAGATAGACATGGCCCACGAAGACTGGCCAAACAGGGTTACGCAGCCTGGGTCTCCACCGAAGGCTGCGATGGTTTTTTTGTACCCAGCACTGAGCCACCACCTGGTCCAGCAGCGCCCAGTTCCTGCGGGTCTGCGTGTCGCCCGCGTTCGGAGAGCGGGGCTTATAATCAGGGTCCCGAGCCCCGACCGTCTGGTTGCTCAGGGAATCCTGCCTGGTTCCGCCTGGCCCTGCCTCTCCTCGCCGCGTCCCTGAGACACCTGGTCTTGGGACCACACCTCTTACCCTAGAGTTAGGTCCCTCTCCATCGCAGTATGGAGCATCCGCGGAAGTTAGGCGCAGCCCCTGCACGCACCTCTTGCAGCCAAGCCCCCACAGCCCCCTCCCCTCGCCTACCACCCGGACCGCACCTCCTCCGCCCTGAGCCCAAGTCCGGAGGAGGCCGGGTCCCTCGTCCCCCGCGCCGGTCCCCGGCCCCGCCTACCTCAGGACGGCCAGCCTATGCCGAGCCTATGCCGAGCCTATGCTGCCGCAGCACAAGCACCACTTTCTCGCGGGCGGCCAGTTCAGAGGCATCGTACGTGGAAGCGGAGCCCACGAGGAAGGCGCCTCCTGGGAACCAGACCATCACCCGGGCGTGGAAAGCCGAGGCCTGAGCGGGGCGGTGCAGTGGCTGAGCCGGGCGGCGCGCAGGAAGATGAATACTCAGCCGCAGCAGAGCGTCCTCAGGCGCGCGCTGGCGGTACACGGTCAGGTACAGACCGTCCTCGCTGAAGCTCAGCCACTTGGATTGTTTGCGCGTGTTGGGATACATGGAGGCGATATGGCCCAGGCCTCCTGAAGCCCCCTGCGGCCACGATACGAGTTTGGGCCATAGAGTGTGGCCAATGTGGTGGCCATAGAGCTGAGAATGGTTGAAAACCCAGGTTCCGCATTTGAGGGAATAGAACCAAAAGCAATTATTTAGGCAGTGTGTGTGTGTGTGTGTGTGTGTGTCTATCTGCCTGTGTCCGAGTGGCTTCCACTAGCGTTAGGGTCCAGGGGTGGGAGGCAGCTTGGCTTCCCCAAGATCCACCCCTCTGCCTTGAGCCTGGCCCCATGAGTCTTTGTGGGGAGAGGTTCCCTGCTCCTGTTGGAGAGGCTGTTGGTGCTGTCAAGCCAGAAACCTGGGTACCCTGGGCACCTCCTTGTCTTTCATATCCCCTCCCCTCCCTCAGTCTCTGATCTGCCTCCCAAACAGCTCTTAAATAGGCCTCCTCCTCTATTCCAGAGCTGCTGCCCTGCAACGGCCATTACCACATCTGGCCAGGACACTGCCCCAGCCTCTTTATATCCCTTCCAACTCATCCTCCACAGAGGACTGATAGAAAACAAAAACCTGACCTTTTCACTCCCCACCTTAAAACCTTCCTGGGCCCCCTGTGTTCAGGATTAGGTCCAGATTCACCTGCACTGCCCCAGGCCCTCTCCATCTAGCCTTCTTCTGGCCACCCTTTCCTGCAGATACACATGGACCCTAGCCTCCCACCTCTAATTCCCTTTGCTTCTGTCCCCTCTGCCAAATGCTTTCTCCTCTGCCTGGCAAACTCCTGCTCATGTTTAAGGCTCAGCTCAAGTGGTGCCCCCTCTGCTGGGCAGTTCCCCTCTGTGCTTCCCCAAAGCTCTATCCATGTTGACTATAGTACTGGGTTGGAGTTGAACCATGTACTCCCAAGGGGCAGGGATGGATGAGGATTTATCTGAGTCCTGGCACCCATGTGGACATTTGTGGAGCTTGGCTCTTGGGCCACCTCACCTTTTCTCCCTGCTGGCCGAGCCCTGAGAGTGGCTGTTCTCAATAGTTGGGGCTGGGTCCATCTGACTGGCTACAGGAGACCCTCTGCCTATTCTGCTCCATTCTCTGCTTGTTCCCTTGCTGCTCTGGCCCCAAACTAGTCATTATCCAAACTAGTCACTGGTCTTCTTCCCCTCTTAACTACCATCCCGTAGTCTGTTCTAAGCCATCCACAAATTCCTATACCTAACACTCTGTGTTGCAAACAGCTGTTGTCTGACAGTTCATGGCCAGTGTTCCAACAACTGACACCCAGACTTCGGTGCAGTGGATACCCCAATCTCTAAACCCCTGATCCTTGGGGCTCTAGTAATGGCTATCCCATGTTCTGTCACCTGATCCATGGGATTCCAAATAACAATCACAGAGTGTTCAGAATGTCTGGGCTTCTCTCAGTGGTAGTCATTGTTCTAATGACTAACACCCCAGCACTCTAGTAACAGCCATTCATGTTCTAACAGTGGATGCCCTGTTCTCAACAAATAGACACCCAGGGTGGTGGTTATAGTTTTTTTAACATTCTTTTTTTTTTTAAGATTGATTTATTTGAGAGAGAGAGAGAGAGAATGTGCATGAGCAGTGGAAGGAGCAGAGGGAGAGGGAGAGAGAATCTCAAGCAGAATCCACATTGAGTGCAGAGCCCTTGGCGTGCCTGATCTCATGATCCTGAGATCATGACCTGAGCTGAAACCAAGAGTTGGTCACTCAACCGACTAAGCCACCCAGGCACCCCTCCCCCCTTTTTTTCTACAGAGCGAAAGGACACCTGTGCTTGTGTGGGATGGGGGAGGGGCAGAGGGAGACAGAGAAAATCTCAAGCAGGTTTCACACCTAGCGCAGAGCCCAGCATGGAGTCCAGTGCAGGGCTTGATCTCACAACCCTGAGATCTTGACCTGAGCCGAAATCAAGAGTCAGAGTCTCAACCCACTGAGCCACTCAGGCACTCTGGTGGTTGTAGTTTCTTTCTTTCTTTTTTTTTTTTTTTAAAGATTTTATTTATTTATTTGACAGAGAGAGACACAGCGAGAGAGGGAACACAAGTAAGGGGAGTGGGAGAGGGAGAAGCAGGCTCCCCGCAGAGCAGGGAGCCGGATGTGGGACTCGATCCCAGGACCCTGGGATCGTGACCTGAGCCAAAGGCAGTCACTTAACCGACTGAGCCACCCAGGCGCCCGGTTGTAGTTTCTTAATATCAACTGACACCCAGGTTCTTACAGTAGACATTTTTCTAAACCCAGTGCTTTATCCAACTAATTGTTAATGATTGCCACAGAATACTCTGGACAGTGGGTTACTCAATGGTCTGAATAAATAATTAATACATTTGTTCTGGGTAAATTCCCAAGCCCAAGGCTTCAAAAGGCAGTCATAACCTCAACATGCTCACGTGACTCAGGGTTTGAGCCTTGCTAGAGATTGCATTAAGATTCTGGGACATTAGGGCGCCTGGGTGGCTCAGTCGTTAAGCGTCTGCCTTCAGCTCAGGTCATGATCCCAGAGTCCTGGGATCGAGTCCCACATCGGGCTCCCTGCTCGGCGGGAACCCTGCTTCTCCCTCTCCCACTCCCCCTGCTTGTGTTCCTGCTCTCGCTATCTGTCTCTCTAATAAATAAATAAAATCTTTAAAAAAAAAAGATTCTGGGACATTAAAACTGAACCTGAGCCTGTGACCTCCCCATCTTGGAGCTCCTTCTGCAGTGAAAGGTTGGATGTGCCATGTGGGCTTGTCCTTGGGCTCAAGTCCCAAGTGAGAGGGAAGAGCTCAGGGTTCACTGAGTATGGGCTGTGTGTGTGTGTGTGTGTGTGTGTGTGAGTGAGAAAGAGAGAGGGGGAGAGAGAGAGAGAGAGAGAAAGAACAAATGAACTGCTCCTCACATACTTTTAGGACAACTCAGCTCCCCAGAAGGTGCCAGGGGCACATCAGTGAGCACCTCCTCCTTACCTGGAGCTCTCCCATGAGAGAGCCAAGAACAGAAGTATCAGTGCCTTAAACACCATCCGGGCCAATTACTTCATTATATAGGTTTGTAAACTGAGGCCCAGAATGGGCCCCTGGCCCACTTACGGCCACACAGTGGACTCTTTTTAGTGAGTTGTTCAAACCCTGACCCAGAGGCAGGCATTGGTCCACCGCCCTCCTTAGGGTTTGCCCACCTCCCAGACAGTAGTCCTTTGGCTCTTATGCAGGGACATAGGTGGTGGCATTTCTGAATCCTTCCCAGGATTCTGGGGGCCCTGGGGCAGTGATCCTGCAGGCACCCACAGGAGGTCTGGAGAAGGAAACTGCTAGGAAGACACTGATGGGTGTCTTCCCATGTGCATCTATTTTCCTTGGAGGGTCCCATATTTGGTAACCACTAGAGGTTCTTTGGTGTGCAGGGTACCTAGGAAGAGAGGAGAAGGGTCACTCTGGCCCTGAAAGAACTCTGGCCCATCTGCCATGGCACCAGTTGCAGCTTGCAGCTTTTCACAATTGCGTACTTGCCCACTTTTTCTGTGTTTCTCTCAGTATGTTTCTCTATCATTATTTAAGATTTAAGATTTCAACGCTATGTTGGTAGGTGCGTAAAGGTTCATGTCTGTTATATAAAATATTTTCTGTCATTTAATGCATCATTTAATGTCAATATCATTGTATCATTTTGATTCTGCTTGTCTGATATTGATATTACCATATCTCTTTCTTATTGCTAACATTTACCTGGCATACTTCTGGGAAGAAATCACACACATATAGGCATTCTCATTCATATATCTGCTCAAATTAATACTCACATGTACATACAAATCTACACATACATAGGTACATACGAGCTCAGCTTATCTACGGTGAAGCATGCAGAAATGCAAGAGCTAAATGCACACCCATATGCATACATACATGTATGTATGAACAGTTATATAAAGGTTACAGTGTATCCATATGTAGCATACATTGATTTACATGTTACACATAGGCACACAGACACACTACAAGAAGATCTACACCTTAGCCAGCTCTTGGACTGAATATGAACTAGACCAAGTTGAATTTACCCTCTGCCTATGGCACTTCCTCCTCTTCTGGGCTCTCATCCTGCCCCACTCGTGTTGCCAAGCGTCACTTAGGCCTCACATCTGTTGCCCTTTCCTGAAGCACCCTTGTCATTTCTTCCCCTCCTTTATCAAAACTGAATTGTTCTGTGCCCTGGTCCCCTAGGGTTCACTCTGCAAATGACAGAAAGCAAATATGATCCAAGTATTACTGAACTTGGCTGTGTATCAGAATCATGTGGGGGAAATCATTGTTAAAACCCAGGTTCCTAGGCCCACCCTCTGAATGAGAATCTCAGGGTTGCATCAGGAAAGTGATTTACAAACACCTCCTGGTTTTGGGAATAGCAGTTGGAGTTGGTGTGATAGAGGACACACTCCAGCTGCAGGTGGCCAAAAGTACCTCTCTGTGCATGTCCCCAGGTCTCTGCAGGGCTGACGAAAGCAATATCTGAGCACAGAGGGGTGGTTGTAATGGTGAGCCCGCAAGCACGTAGGCAGGACAGTGCGGGCAAAGGGTCATCTCAAATCTCCTATGTGTGCTGTTCTTTGCAGTTTACAAAGCCTTTTCACATGGTCCTGCCATGTGAGCTTCTCATTGGCCCTGGGGAGAGCTGGGGGAGGCCTATGGGCCCAGAGAGGGGCAATGACTAGCCTGACGTCTCATAGGACAGAGCACGGAGGCAGAGGTCTGCCACATTATCTGGGTTTGCCCTGAAGCCTGGGTCCACTCATGATCAACTAGCCAACAACCATGAGTTACTGATCCTCTGGCGCTGTGCCAAACACTTTACATGGACTATCTCACCTTGTCCTCCTAAAACATGTAGAGGGTAATTGTTATTATTATTGCACCATACATATGTGGCAATGGAAGCTCAAAGGGGTTATAGAACTTGCTTAAGGTCACACAGTGAGGCTCTCCTCAGAGTTTTGCTCTAAGCAGTGTTGTTTTGCTCTCCTCACTCCAGTCTCTGGGGGCACCTAAGCATGCAGCAGAGTGCTCTATACCCCTGAACAAGAGCTGCCTTGGAGTGGTCTTTTTTTTTTAAAGATACTTCACTTTTTTTTTTAAGATTTTGTTTATTTATTTGACAGAGAGAGACACAGCGAGAGAGGAAACACAAGCAGGGGGAGTGGGAGAGGGAGAAGAAGGCTTCCCGCTGAGCAGGGAGCCCGATGTGGGGCTCGATCCCAGGATCCTGGGATCATGACACGAGCCAAAGGCAGACGCTTAATGACTGAGCCACCCAGGTGCCCCTTGGAGTGGTCTTCATCGCAGCCTTGTTATCCAGAGACAATAGGTAAGCACTTATGAAAATATTCCACTTTTTGAGTAGGCATAAAATGTTAATTAAAACCAGGAGTTAAGGGGTGCCTCGGGGGGTTCAGTTGGTTAAGCATCTGCCTTCAGCTCAGGTTATGATCCCAGGCTCCTGGGATCGAGCCCTGCCTCGGGCTCCTTGCTCAGTGGGGAGTCTTCTTCTCCCTCTCCCTCTGCCTGCCACTCCCCCTGTTCGTGTTCTTTCTCTCTCAAATAAATAACAGCAAAATCTTTTAAAAAATTGTTTATGTGGTAAGTATCCTGTAGCCTTGTTGGCAACAGTCTCCCCCGCCCAACATGACCAGAAGGGATGGGTGAGGAAGGGATGTTATATCTACATTATATAATATATATTACACGGTCAGTAATGGCATGTTCTGTAAGACTCTGTAGCAGCAGATGGCTTAATGTGGTGGCTCTGAGCAAGGCTGCTGGGTTTGAATTCCAGCACTGCCATTCATAAGCTGTGTGACCGTGGGAAAATCACTTACCTTCTCTGAACCTCAGTTACGCCATCTGTGAAATCAACATAATAATAGTACTTAACTCATACAGTTGTAGTGAGGGTTAGATGGGCTCATGTAGGGAAGACACTTAAAACCGGGGAAACCCATTATGTTAGCTGTTGTCATCAGTACTTGGGAAAAAGCTGATGTCGTTCAAGAACTTGAAAAGGGCAGAATTTGAAATTATATATTAGTCATGGAGAGTGAACACCAAAACACTCCAAAGATGTCTGAAGTAACAGGAAGGATTAATGTCAAAATGGTGTCAGTGGTTGCCTCTGAGTTGCAGGCATTAGTTACCTTGATTTTTTTTTTCTTTAACTTTTCCGTATTTTCTTTATCAACATTAATGGAGGGGGCGCTCAGTCAGTTGGGCGACTAACTCTTAATCTCATCTCGGGTGTTGATCCGGAGTCGTGAGTTCAAGTCCCATGTTGGGCTCCATGCTGGGTGTGGAGCCTACTTAAAAAAAAACAACCAAACAAAAAACAGTGGAGAGTTCACCATCAGTGTGGGGTTCAAGAGACTAGGGATGGGAGGACACGGAAGGCAGGACCAAGGAAGTGGGGGTTATCAATAGTTCTGTCTGGTCTGGACCACAATCTTCTTTCTGGACCACATTCCCCTCCTCATCACCTCTACCAGCCTCCCCTGCAGGTTGTGTGTGGCCACATCAATAGGAATATGGAGCCCCATTTAGAGGAGGTGACAGAGCTGCTTGTTTCTTCTGCCTAGGATCTGACAAGTTTGGTTTACCTTAATGCAGTAAGCATGTGTCACTCAAAGCAAGGGCCAAGCCGGGGGATGGAGGACAAGGGAAGGGAGTGGTAGAGAAGGCAGACAAGACTGTGAGTCTACCTGCCAGGCCTGGGGGCCAGGCACATAGAGACTACTCCACTCAGCTGTGCAGCAACTTGGCCAGTTCTTTTCTCTTTTTAAAAAATTTTATTTATTTATTTATTTGAGAGAGAGAGAGAGCACAAGCAGGGTTGGGGGAGGGACAAAAGGAGAGGGAGATGCAGACTCCCTGTTCAGCAGGGAGCCTGATGTGGGGCATCCCAGGACCCCAAGATCATGACCTGAGTAAAAGGGGCTTAGCTGACTAAGACGCCCAGGTGCCCCACATCTTGGCCAGTTCTGGGTGGGCCTTAAGGTCTGGTCCTGCCAACACCTGGCTCTACTCCTGTCACTTCTCCCTGAGTAAGAAACAGCCTTTCACCTGGTCCATCCATATGGGGAGGAGTGTGGGCTAGGACTCACGTGGGCTCCATCCAATGTTCACATGGGGCACAGGGAATGTCGAATGGGGAGCTGGGTCAGCCAGGTGGCCTTGGTGCAACGCTGTCTTAGGGTTAAGAATCTGTGATTCTGATATGTAGCACAAGGTGGCTCCTGTTCTGAGTCACCCAGCATTCTGTTTTTTGTGGGGGGAAGACCGAAGCCCCATCTGGTCCACTATTGGGCTTTACACATAAAGAGACATGTCTAACAAGTGAGGTGGAGTGTTCTTAGAGGCCTTCACACTGATGACAGGGTGAAGTCACAGTCCTGGCGAGAGGAGACTTGCTTGGAGCTGGCCTAGCAGTTGGGCCTGGGGTGAAGGTAGAGGGCCTGGTTCTGGACCCACCGGGGTTCTGATGTGACCTCCCACCCACAGGGGCAGTAAAGGGTACCTGCGAGGGTGGAAGAATCCTCTCACTGAGCTGAGATCCTGCGCCCAGGCTGGTCAGGGATGACTCTCATCAGGGTATATCAAACATGGGGGGAGGTACACTTCTCTATTCCAAACAGCATCAAAGGTAGCAGCTGCAGACCCAAGGAGAGTGTGTGTCTGCCAGGATCGCACCCTTAAGGAATCTCTGGGACATTCTGGCAAGCAAGGATTCATAGATGACTAGCCCTGAGGGAGCCTAGAGGCCAGTGCCAGGGGTGAGGGTAGGAGAGTGTAGCCAACACCGAGCCATGGATGGTGGATACAGCTAGGACCCCGCCCCCCCTCTGCCGCCAAGAGGGGCGTGGCCAATGTGCCTGGTTACCTCTGCATCTACAGGCGCTGCCCAAGAAAACACAGACTCAGTTCAGCTCTGGACTTGATAACTTCTGGGGTGCCTTCATGGCCTGGAGGCTCCCAAACAAAAGAAGTCCAAAACTTACACTCTGAAAACTACAAAACATTGTTGTAAGAAATTAAAACAGATCGGGGTGCCTGGCTGCCTCGGTCAGTAGAGCATGCAACTCTTGCCCTTGGGATCGTGAGTTCAAGCCCCATGTTGGGCCTAGAGCCCACTGTAAAAAAAATAAATTTATTTTAAAAAAGAAATTAAAGTAGATCCAAACGAATGGGAAAACACCCTGTGTTTGTGCATGAAAGGACTTCATATTGTTAAGCTGGTAAAGTAACACTCCCCAGATTGATCTGCAGATTCAGTGCCATCCCTGTAAGAATCTCGGCTGACTTCTTGGTAGAAATCGACAAGTGGATTCTAAATTTCATATGGAATTGCAAGGAAGCTGGACTGGGTGAATCATGAATAAGAATAAAACAGGAAGACTCATAATTTCCTATTTCAAAACTTATTACAAAGAAATGGTAAGCAAGAGAGGGTAGTATATACTGACATAAATTAACCATAAAAATTAATGGAACAGAATTGAGAGTCCCGTGTATATATGTATAAATAGACCCATGTATCTATGCATGGCTGAGTTTCGACAAGACTGCCAAGGGTGCCAAGACCATTCAGTGGTGGGGAGAATGGTCTTGTCCACAACATGGTGTTGGGACAATTGGGCCGCCACATACAAAAGAACAAAGAAAATGAAGACAAGCTATGGAATAGGAGAAAATATTTGCAAATCATATAGCCGTTAAGGGACTTGGATTCAGAATATATAAAGGACTCTTACAACTTAACAACAAAAAAACACAACTCAATTAAAATTGGGCAAAGGATATGAAGAGATATTTTTCCAAGGAATATGTTTAAAAGGCCAATAAACATATGGAAAGATGTTCAACATCATTAGCCATCAGGGAAATGCAAATCAAAACCAAAGTAGATCCCACTTCACACCCACTGGGGTGACTGGAATACAAAAGTCAGATAGTAGATGTTGTCAAGGACATGGAAAAATCTAAATCCTCATAGACTTCTGGGAGGAATGTAAAATGTGCAGCCACTTTGGAATACAGTCTGGCAGTTCCTCCAATGATTAAACATAAGAGTTACCGTATAACTTAGCAATTTTACTCCTAGGTGTGTGTGTGTGTGTGTGTGTGTGTGTGTGTGTCTTCAAGAGAAATAAAAACATGTCCACACAAAAACTTGTACACAAACATTTAGAGCAACATTATTCCTAATAGCTACCAGGTAGAATCAACCCAAATGATGAATCAGCTAATGAACAGGAAACAAAATGTGATATATCCATAAAATGGAATACTATTTGGCCACACAGAATGAAGTACTCATACATGTGACACCATGCTTATGCTAAGTGAAAGAAGCCAATCACAGAAGACTATGTCTAATAAGATTCCATGAATATGAAATGTCCAGAACAGAGAAGCTAATAAAGACAGAAAATAGATTAGATATGAAAAATCATTTCACTGTACACTTCAAGTAGGTGAATTGTATGGTATGTGAATACAATCTCAAGAAAGCAATCTAAGAAAAAGGGAAAGCTGATGTGAAACAGACCGACAATCCCGACATTTTGGCAAGGATTTGGATCGACCAGAACTCTTATGCGTTGCTGGTGGGAGTGTAAATTGGTACAACCTCTTTGAAAACTGCTTGGCATAATCCACTCGAGTTCAAAGCTACAACACCATGACTCAGCAATTCCAAATCCCTCCACTAATTCCACGTGGTAGATATATACTGAATGAACATGTCTGTATGCTCACCAGAAGGCGTGTTAGAAAGTTCCTATCAGGGTGCCTGGGTGGCTCAGTTGGTTAAGCGACTGCCTTCGGCTCAGGTCATGATCCTGGAGTCCCAGGATCGAGTCCCGCATCGGGCTCCCTGCTCGGCAGGGAGTCTGCTTCTCCCTCTGACCCTCCCCCCTCTCATGCTCTCTCTCTCTATCTCATTCCCTCTCTCAAATAAATAAATAAAATCTTAAAAAAAAAAAAAAAAAAAGAAAGTTCCTATCAACACCATTCATAAAAGCCCCGACTGGAGACTACCCAAAGGCCTGTTAAGAGAACAGGAAACATGCCGTGGTGTATTCACACGATGAAATCCTGTTACAATGAGATTGAATGATCCTTGGATGCATCTCACGGACCTAATGTGGAGTGAAAGTAGCCTGACACAAAAGAGCATCTACTGTATAATTCCATTTTTATTCCATTTCATGGAATCATAGGCTGTGTGATTCCATTTAGCACGCAAAACTACCGTCTGCCATTGAGAATCGTATAGCCATCACCTTTGGAGGGGAGTCCCGGAAAGAGCACAGGGGAACTCGTTCCAGCGGCTAATAATATTCTGTTTCTTAATCCACGTGCTGGTTACATACTGGTGTGTATGTGAATATTCATTTTATGAAAATTAATCAAACTTTATAATTAGGATTTGTGTACTTTTTGGTACATACATTATGTTTCAACATAGAAGTTTACTAAAAAAAGAAAAATAAAGGAAAGATTTGGCTGGGTCGGGGGGGGGGGTTTTGTGGAAGGAGTGACTCCTGACAGAGCAGGAACCTCAGCAATGTACAGAGCTACAGACCATCTCTGGAGGGTCTCTGGAGGTAGGAGTGGGCTGCTGAAACCACTCGGACCCAAGAAAAAGCTGATTCTATTTTGGGGAAAAAGGCTGCGAATCAGAAAATATCACTTGCTTCAAATGTAACCTTCGGTCACCATATGATGAAGCAGTGCTGGCTCCAGAGGAAGAAAGGGAACGGAGGGTCTAAAAGGTCTGTCACCCAATGGATGCTCAGGGAGCATCTCTGGGGACGGAGAGTCACATCCAAGTCACCGGGAAGTATGTTTGGGAGCTCCCAGGGCGTGGAGGGGCCTCCAGGGGTTATCATCAAGTCCACAGCTGAGCTGAGGCTATGCTTTATTGAGGAGCCAGCTGTGCATGCAGCCTTGGCCCAGGCGCACTGGCTGAGCCCCTCCCGGGGTGTTCTATCTGCCCCCTGTGGGTGGGAGGCCAGGCCAGAATCATGCTCTCCGCCTTCACCCAGGCCCAGCCGCTGAGCTGGCTTTGAGCACAGGCTCCTTCTCTCTCCAGGACCTTGGCCTCACCCTGCGATCTGGCCTCTAAGGACACCCCACCCCACTTGCCAGACGTGTCTGCATATATCTGAAGCCCAATAGTGGACCAAATGGGGCCTTGGTATTCCCTCAAACACAGAGCATGCTGGGTGACTCAGGAGAGGACTCATCCAGTCCTATATATCAGAATGTCCGCTCTGGGGCAGCCAAGACTCTTTCCAAGCATCTTTATTGTTGCTGCTGCCATCATTATCATTGTTCCTATTGTATATGTAAGGAAACTGAGACCCAGAATGGAGAAATGACTTGGCCCAGGCCTCACAGGAAGTGTGACTTGCACTCCCACAAAGGAAGGTGGCTTACTGCCAGTAGGAAAGAGCAGGAGAAAAAGGATGGGACCTTTGTTCATGCTGTTCCCTCTGGGTGGAATGCCCTTCCCTGCATTGTCAACCAGGTGAACTCCTGGCTATCCTCCAAAAGTCAGCTCATCCCCTTCTGGGTGCCTTTCTGATATGCTACACCCCTATAGGATACAGCCAGATTCCTGCAGTTTCTTGCATGAGACCAACCTGCCCAGGCTTCGTGCATAGACAGGGAACTAAAATCCCTGTGAGGGAAGGACCTGCCTGAAGTCATGGAGAGACTCAGCCCAGAGACTGGCTCCCAAGGATTACCCTGGCTGCCTGCAGGTGAGCTCACCTCATGCCTTGGAGGTGGCCCAGGACTGGGGGTGCAGGGTGGGAAGCTCTGACCTGAGCCTGCTGTCACTGGATGTCTGGTCCAATTAGGAGACAATTGAGGAATTCCCACTGCCCACCTGTATTTTTCAGGTGGCCCTAACATAGTGCAGTCCCACCCCTGACTTCAAAGGTCCTAGGATACCTTCAGGCCCTCTTGCTGCTGCCTGCAGTGCTGTCCCTTTCCCAGAACTCTGGCCATGGCATTTCCAGTGCCACTTCCCAGGCCCAGCCTGAGACCCAGGTGTGCCTCCAGCTGGCCACATGGGGGCCAGGGTGCGGCCCTACAGGAATGGGTCCTTAGGACTGATTCGTGGGTGAAGCTCTGGGAGGCTGGGAAGGGCCAGGAGCCTCCCTCCAGTTTTGGGTCGAGGGTCACAGAAAGCCTGACGGGTTTGCTCAGTCACACTGGGCAGATTCCTCCCAGCCCTTGGGGTGGTGACTTTAGGCAGCACCCACCCCAGGGGGTGGTCCTAACAGAGACTGGGCTCCTGGGGGCTCACCCTGGCTCTGCCTCATACCTTGTCTGTCACACAGGTGTGGCAGACAAGGCCTCCTCTCAGGAGGCCGGGGCCAGGCAGGGGTGATAGGACTCTGCCCACCCACCCACCCAGTCAACTTTGCTGCTCTGGGACCCCTGTGGTGCTTCTAGGTCTGCTTGGACGGCTGTCTGGTCTCCTTAGAGACCTGGGGGCCCAATTCCCCCTCACTGCTTCTCTCATCCAAGGGGAGCAATGGCCTGGCTCAGAGTCTTCACTTGCTTGGGGCTCTGAATGGTGTTGGGGTGTGATGGGGCCTGGAGACCAGGGAGAAAGATGGCCTGGACGCTGACCCTCCATGGTGGGGGTAGGCTCGACACCTCAAGCCCTTTACCCTGCCAGCTTCCCTATACCTGAAGACCCAGCAGCAGGTGAGGCCCTGGAGTCTGGTCAGGGGGAGGCTGTGCACACGGACCAGCCATAGCATCCGAGTGCAGGCCCGAGGATGGAGGGAGTTTGTGTGGCATCCAACCAAGAGCAGCACTGGACCCTGTCATCTCTCTTACCACAGTCTGAAGCTGTTACCCTGCAAGACCCCCTCCCTCTGGCCATCCCTTGCTGGCCTTGCCGCCCGTTAGAACCCCAGTCCCTCCACCTACATCAGCCTCTGAGATCTCTCAATTCCAGCAAAGTGCGTTCTAGACATGAGGGCACATTCTGGAGGGGGAAGGACATCTCGGAGGCCAGTGGATTTAGCTATGAGTCCGGCTCTGTCATCTCTGTGTGTGTGGCCTCAGGCAAGGCACCCTCCCCTCTGATTCTCAGTGTCCTCATCTGTAGAATGGAGATCCACTCAGGGCCCTGAAGGACCATTCAGGACCCCAGAGGACTGTCCAGACGCCTGAGGGAGATGATGGATGTGAGTAAGCCTGACACAGAGGCAAGCTTAGCAAGTGTCCTTGTGATGCCTGGCTAGCTGGTTGCCTTGTGCCCTGATCCTGGTCGAAACTGTAGTCAAGGGGGCCATCTGATTCAAAGGACAGTATGATTGTGAAAGCTGTGTCCGTATCTAGGCCAGAGAGCAGTTACTGAGCACTTGCTGTGTGTCAGGCACTCGACAGCTAATTATCACTCAGTGCTCACGGCAGATCTATGAAAGGGGACATGATCACTGCCCCCATTGCATAGATGGAAAAATTAAGAAACAACGAAGCTAAATAATTTACACAAAGATACACATTTAGTAAATTGCAGAACTGAACTGGAACCCTATTAGGGTGTGTGAATATGAGTGTGTGGGACTGGCCACGTGGGTGAGTAACTAAGTTTGGCACTGGGTATACACACGCATGTCTGTGTCTACTGGAGCAGCTGCTGGTACCTTGTCCAGGTGGCTGGGTCCAGATGTGTGCATCTGACCCCACAGTCACCCCTGGGGCACACACACGCTGCTCACATGGTCCTTCCTGTGACCCCGCCCAGGGAGGCTCCCTGGGCCCACCAGTCCCTTCGCTGCAGGACCTGGCCTGTCTGAGTTTGTGGGTTCCCCCTGGCTTGCTCCCCTCAGCTCTGTGTAGCTGCTGGATCCTCAGGGCAGGGCCATCAGTCAGTCACGGATGACCTGGCAGGCCGGGGAGGGGTGTTCCACAATCACTGGCCCAGGGAAGACAGACTAAAAAGGCAGGAGGACTGAAATCCCAGCAGCATACCCACCTTGTATGAATGCTCCCGCTGAGCGACTGGGGTGGGGCCAGGCCATCCCCCTCCCTCCCTGTGCGGAAAGAACTCTAGCAGCTGGGGTTGGGGGATGAGAGGGAGGGAAAGATGGCAGCGGGACAGGGTCTGAGGCCCACCCTCCAGAGCCCTCTGGCGATGGTGGCACCAAAGCTGGTGATGGTTCCCCCCGCCCCATGCCTCCCAGGTATGGTGCGCCCTCAGGCCTGGAGGGAGAGGCCTCTGTACATCCAGCACGGTCGGATCTGGGCCCTTGATTCCCAGCCTGGGCTTGCTCGCCTGCAGGCAGCCCCTGGGGGTCTTCCTTCCCCTCACCTCTCTGTCCATCACTCAGCAGGTCTGTCTGTCTACTCTAAATCTAGAGCCAACCAGTGCCTTTCCACCTAGCTGGAAACCCACACTGGTCCCCTCCCTACTCTCCCTGTCCCCACTCTCACCGCCCCCCCCCAACCAGTTCATGTCACCTGCTGGTTAAAACCTTTCCAAGGCCCTCCATTACCCTCAAGCACACACCCCCTTTGCAGCCCACAAGGCCCCTCAGAGTCTGGTCTTTGCTGACCTCTCCATTCTTTAGAACTGTTTCCTCAGTACATTTCAACCTCCAGGCCTTTGTGTCTGCTGTTCCCTCTGCCAGGAACACCCTTTCCCGCTGCTCCCCATCCCTCAAGTCCACTGCTCTGGCCAGCACCCTGGAGTAATCTCTGCTTGTCCTTCAGGTCTCAGCTTAGATGTCCTTCCTTCCTTCCCATGTCCACCAGGTCAGGGCTGGCCCATGCCTCTGTGTACCTACAGTCCTCTGAGTCCCCAGTGGCACGCGGTGACTGGGGCTTGTTTATTTGTCAGGCTCTCCACTCACTTGTGGGGACAAACTTCCCTGTGGAGAGAAGGGGAAGGGAACGGGAGGCCTTCAGTGCCAGGTGAAGAACATGGACTTGCCCTAAGGGTGGCAAGGAATCACAGGGAACTTTTGAGCAGGGGAGTGGCATGACTCAGGGCCCATTTGGCTTTATGTCTTTCCTTCCTGCCCAGAATGGACTTCCCTGAACAGCACTGGTCCCAACTGCAAGTGCTTTTCATGTAACTCTTAGCAGCCAGGAACTTAGTCTGACTGAGGAAGGGTATTTGTGGGATTGGACCTGTAGGATGAGAGAGTGGGGGCAGGGAAAGTCCTTGTGATATGGATTAGAATCCAGATGTTTTGAGGGAATGGGGCAATGATCCTCAAAAAAAGAAATGTTTGCCCCCCCCCCCCAAAAAACCTCTGGTTCCTTTTCACCTGTTGTAGCCTGAGTGGGTAGGCCTCTTCTTTTCTCTGTGACAAAAGCCTGACTGATGCACTAGTCCAGACACCCTCCCCCAACTGTTTTCCTGTGTCCTGGTAGGTACTGTGGGGGCTGTGCTGAGCTCCCCTAGAAGTTGGTCTCCCCAAGCTGGGAGGGGAGGGAGGAGCCCAGCCAGCCCGTAAAATGTTGAAGCACTAGGGCTGGGAAACTCACATCTCATATCCTAAGAGTCAGGGCTCCGGCCTAGCTGGATTCTGTTTTGTCTTGTGCAGGAGACAGGTGTGGGCAGCATGGAGAAAGCGATCTCCCTCAGCCTGAGTCAGGCTTTGGGGGTGATTACTGCTTGGGAGGCTAAGATCTGTTCTAGGCTGGATCCCCTGAGGTCTCAGGACTCCCCTCTACTCCAGGACTGCCTTGTCCATCCACCCTCCTGGCTAAGGAGGACATCTGTGCCAGACCGAGCATAGGTTTGGTGGCTGAAGAGCCTGGGTTCGTGTCCAGCAGCCATGGTTCCCTGGCTCTCTGTCTTTTACTCACTCATCAAACATCCCTGACTCCAGGTCCTGCCCAACCCTTGTGTGGGAGACGCAGAGTGGGGTTCAACAGAGCACAGTGCCACTCATAGAGGGGCTGGTTCCTTAAGGGACATGTCTATATATCAGCTTGGTTTAAGTCAAAGTTTCTTAGCAGCGGGAGAAAGAAGCTGCTTTGCTGGGACTCTGTCCCCGCCCTAGGGCTCCTCCTGGGCCTTCCTGCCCTTCCGCATCTGCCGCCACTGGCCGATCTTGGCCAGAAGCCTCTCTGCCCAGAACTGCATTTGGGCTTCTCTCAGCTTCTGGCCAATTTGTGGTGTCAGGCCGATTTCCAGTTATCGCTCCAACTGGTTGAAGGGGGGCCACGGAGGCAGCCTCTCCCCATTGGGGTCCCTGGGTGGGAGGAATGAATGAAGGCTAAGGCCTCCCGCGTTGTCCCCTGGGGGGAAGATCTGAGTCATCGAGGCCCAAAGCCACGTGTGCTGGCTTGTCACTCACCCTGTCCGGGCAAACTTGGTCCTCTGAGCCACCATGGTGAGACTCAGCTGCTTCTCCTCCTCTGTAGCTTCTAGAAAGGCCAGGGAAGGAACAGACCTGGATCAGAGTCAGGTGGGTCCTGGAGAGAACCCAAGGGTTCCCTGCACTGACGAGACGTGTGTGCCTACAAGCCCCAGCTTAGCCCGTTGGAGCCTGCAGCCCAAGGATCACCTGTCTCTGTGTCCTCACCCGGCAGGGAGCTCTCGTCCGTGAGGAAAGGACCCCCAAACATGAAGGCTATCTCAGCCCCATGGTCAGCCCTCACCCACTCAGGCTTGATCTCGAGAAAGAACTGGGTTGATGCTGGAACTCATAGAAAAAGACGGGGACTCCAGAATCTGTGGAGAGAGGGCTGCTTCAGGGTTAGGTACCGTCAGCCTGATCACAGGCCCGGCTCATAGTAACTCCAGTCCCAGTAATAATACTGATGATGACAATGTCATTATCAGCAAGCGCTTCCTGAGCACCCGCCGGCTGCCGCACACCATTCCACGTGCTTTCTGCGTCACCGCTCATTTCACCCTCCTGACAACAGACGAATTAGAGTCTGTTACTGTCGCCATTTTACAAATGAGGAAACTGAGGTACAGAGGGGATAGGCATCTTGCTCAAGGTCACAAAGAAAGGAGCTTGGAGTTGTTTGAGGGCTATGTCAGGGACTAGCCACCAGGCTTGGAGGAAGCAAGACTTTTCTCCCAGGAGAAGTGCTGAACGTGGGAAAAATCACTCATGATTCAAATGAATCCCTGAGAATTGGTGATGAGCCCTGCTGGGTGACCTCTGATGAGTCACTGCACCTCTCTGAGCCTTGGTTTACTCGCCCACAGAGTGACCTGCCAGAGTCCCATCTGCATCCCAGAAAGGAAGGGGGGTGTGGAGGCAGTGGCAGGGTGTGGGTCATGTCGCCTGTGATAACCCAGCTCCTGGTCCAAAATGGAAAGGGTGGGGCAGGTGACCAGGGATAGATTCACCTCGGAGGTTTCTAGAGAAATTCAAGGAGGGTAAGATAATGGTGATGTCAGCCAGAATGTCCTGGAAGGCATTGCGTTTGATTTCTGTGTTGGAACTGCTGCCTAGGTATTCATCTATGATGCTGGGCATCACCTCAGGGGGCACATCCTGGGGCAGGAGGCCAGACTCAGGCCCACTCAGGTTCTGGAAGCCCCAGGAGACCCTCCCAAGAAGCCCCACACCCACCAGCATGGCCTCTTTTATATCCCAAGACTCATGTGCCCAGAACTCCTCCCTCCCTTGGGGGTTCTAGATAGTGTCTGGGCAGGATCAGGTCAGATCTGGAGCCAGAATGCCAGCTCTGCGATTGCTGCTTGGCTGTGTGATCTCAGCTAGGTTGCTGAGCCTCCATGAAAATTAGTTCCTGCCTGGCAGGGTTGTTTGGCAGCCTACATGAAGTTCCTAGCTAAGGATTCTGGTCTTGAGGGATTGCCCGGTTGAAGTTAACCAGGAAGTTAGTGAAAGAACAAATCATGGGGGCTCCCCGAGAGCTCCAGAGAACAGTAATGAGGTTGTATGAATGGGGAGGGCTCTAGGGGTTCCAAAGTAGGGAGGGAAATATGCATAGATTGAGCACCCTCTGAATACTAACTCCCAGTAGACTTTTCAAATACAGCACCCATCATTTACAGATGAAGAAATGGGCTCAACGGCTAACTGTGGACAAGTGACCAGGGTTGGGGTTTGGACTTCGGGTCCAACTGGCTCCACATCTGACAGGATGATCTTAACAGCTAAAGCTCTGGGATCAGACAGACCTGGCAGAAGTTCTGTCTCTGCCCTTTACTTATCATGAGACCTGGAACCTTGGTTTCCTCATCTGTAAAATGGAGATGATGAAAATTTCTATTTCACAGGGTTATAATGAGGATTGAAGGAGATGAATGCCTGTCCTAGGGCTCAGCACAGTCTCTGGCACATAGTATGGGCTCATTAGGGGGCAGTCTATGATGACAATGATGATCTTCCTTTGGGAACCACACTGACTCATGTGCAAGAGGATTTCTGGGTGGAACTAAAAGTCAGCAGTTGAACCAAGGGGTTTGGCAGTGTGGGGGTAGCTGTGGGGGATGGAGGGTAAGAGGAAGAGGAGGGTGCCCTACTATTCTGGATAGGATACCCACCGGACTACCTCTTCCTCCCTTTTGACTCACCATACTGGCCAAGTAGGGTTTCACCATGGCCAATATATTCTCTGTGCTCATCTGTTGCACCTTATCCAGGAAACCCTAGCCCTGCGGGGACATCAAGGTCCTCTTGTAACAGCCTTATCATCGCCACCCCCCACTCGCAATCATGAGCAGACAAATGTTCACGGCCCAGTGAACGGAGCCAAGTGTGACCAGGTGCTGTAGGAGGGCCCACAGGGGAAGTTAAAATGCTGTCTTTATTTTATTATTATTTTTTTTCAAAGGGCTCGGTTTTTGTTTGTTTTTTTTTAAAGCTTTTATTTATTTATTTGACAGAGAGAGACACAGCGAGAGACGGAACACAAGCAGGGGGAGTGGGAGAGGGAGAAGCAGGCTTCCTGCCGAGCAGGGAGCCCGATGCGGGGCTCGATCCCAGGACCCTGGGATCATGACCTGAGCCAAAGACAGTCGCTTAACGACTGAGCCACCCAGGCGCCCCAAAATGCTGTCTTTAAAATGAAATTTTGTCGGAGCGCCTCGGTGGCTTAGTCGGTTAAGCGTCTGCCTTCAGCTCAGGTCATGATCCCAGGGTCCTGGGATCGAGTCCCACATTGGGCTCCCTGCTCGGCGGGAACCCTGCTTCTCCCTCTCCCACTCCCCCTGCTTGTGTTCCCTCTCTCGCTGTGTCTCTCTCTGTCAAATAAATAAAATCTTTTTTAAAAAAATAAGATAAAATGAAAAGTTGTCTTTATATGTTACAGTTTTAAGGGCATAGTCTCTGGGTTCGAATCCCAGCTCTGCCACTTTCTAGGTGCATGACCTGGGCCTATTACTTAAATTCTCTGTGTCTCAGTTTCTTAATCTGTGAAACAGAAATGACAATAACCTGCCTCATAGGATTATGAAGACCGAAGTAGCAAATACAAGGACCCTGACATTCAGTAAACACTGTGGAAACATTAGCTATTGAAGTTAGTTTCATGGCTACAAGGCTCTTTGTTAATCTTTGTGAAAACAGGAAGAGAAAACCCACAGATGAGTGAACTCAACGAGTGTATACCTAAAGGGGGATGTTAATTGCACTAAAAAATAAAGGACTAAGCTAAAGGCCAGAGTAGCTAAAGGTGCAAATGTCTTAAAAATGATGGTCAACAAGAACAATAGACCAAAATCAGTTGTGTTTCTACACACCAGCAACGAACATCTGAAGATCATGTGCAGAAAACAATTTCATTTACAATAGCATCAAAAACAAAATACTTAAGGATCCACTTCATTAACAAAGTGCAAGATTTGTACATTGAAAACTCAAAAACATAATTGAGGGAAATTAAAGAGGACCTATGTAAATGGAGAGACCTCCTATGTTCGTGGGTTGAAAGACTTCATCTTGTTAAGATGGCGATACTTCCTAAACTTATCTATAGATTCAGCGTGATCCCTATCCAAATCTCAGCCACTTTTTTTTTTTTTTTTGGCAGAAATGGACAAGCTGATCAGAATTCATATGGAAATTCAAGGGGCCCAGAATAACCAGAACAATTGTTACGGACTGATTTGTATCTCCACAAAAGGGTATGTACAGTCATGACCCCCAGGACTGCAGAATGTGACTTTATTTAGAGATAGGGCCTTTAGAGAGGTAGTCAAGTTAAGATGATTACAAAGGTAATCATTAGGGTGGGCCCTAGTCCAATATGACTAGTGTCCTTGTAAAAAGGGACAATTCGGACACAGAGATGGATGGTACAGAAGGAAGACAATGTAAAGACTGAGGGAGAATGCCATCCATAAGCCAAGGAATGCCTGAAGCTACCAGAAACTAGAGAAGAGGCATGGATTCTCTCTTACAGTACTCAGAAGGAACCAGTCCAGCTAACACCTTGATTTCAGATTTCTAGCCTCTAAAATTGTGAGGCAATTGATTTCTATTGTTTAAGCACCCCCACCTTGTAGTCCTTTGTTATGACAACCCTAGCAAAGTAATGCAGCAATCTTGAAAAAGAAGAACAAAGTTGAAGGACTTATACTTCCCCATTTCAAAACTTACTACAAAACTGTAGTAATCAGGATAGTGTGGTATTGGCATAAGGATAGACATATAAATTAATGGAATAGAAGTGAGAGTCCAGAAATAAACCCTTACATTTATGGTCAATGATTTTCAGTAAGGGCACCAAAACAATTCAATAAGGAAAGAAAGGTTTTTTAAACAAATGATTCAGGAACAGCTGGATAACCACATGCAAAAGAATCCCTAACTTAAACCATATACAGAATTAACTTCAAATGAATCAGACCTAAATATAAGAGCTAAAACTATAAAATTCTTTGGGAAAAACATAGAGGTAAATCTGGGTGACTTTGGATTAAGCAATCCCTTCTTAGATATTACGCCAAAAGCACAAGCAACAAAAGAGAAAATAAATCAGACGTCATCAAAATGAAAGTGGTTTTTTTAAAAGATTTTATTTATTTATTTGAGAGAGAGAGAGAGAGCACGAGAGAGGGGAGGGTCAGAGGGAGAAGCAGACTCCCTGATGAATAGGGAGCCTGATGCGGGACTAGATCCTGGGACTCCTGGATCATGTCCTGAGAGCCACCTAGGCACCCCAAAATGAAAGTTTTTTGTGTTGTAAAGGATACCATAACAAAGTGAAAAGACAACCCACGGAATGGCAAAAAAGATTTGCAAATCATATATCTGATAAGGGATTTGTATCTACAATAAATGAAAAACTCTTACAATTCAACCATAAAAAGACAATGCAATTTTAAAACGGGCAAAAGACTTTGAAAGACATTTCTCCAAAGAAGATATAAAAATGGCCAATAATCACATAAAAAGATGCTCAAGTCATTAGGGAAATGCAAATCAAAACCACAATGAGATACCACTTCACACCCACTAGGATGACTATAATCAAAATGAGAGCTAATGACTGTTGGCGAGGATGTGGAGTAATTGAAATCCTCATACATTGCTGGTGGGAATGTGAAATGGTGCAGCCACTTTGGAAAACAGGCAGTTCCTCAAATAATTAAACAGAGTTACTATAGGACCCAGCAATTCCACTCCTAGGTATATAACCAAGAGAAGTTAAAACATACACTTGTACATGAATGTTCAGAGTAGGATTACCCATAATATCCAAAGAGGTAGAAACAACCCAAATATCTCTGAACTGATGAATGGATAAACAAATTGTATTGTTATCTATACAAGGCACTATTCAGTCATAAAAAAGAAGGAAGTACTGATATATGCTCCAACATAGATGAGCCTTGGAAACATCCTATTGGATGAAAGAGGTCAGACAAAAGAACCCCACACATTGTAGGATTCTACTTATTTGAAATGTCTAGGAGGTACCTGGCTGGCTCAGCTGGTGGAGCATGTGACTCTTGATCTCGGGGTTGTGAGTCTGAGCCCCACTTTGGGTGTAGAGATCGCTTGAAATGTCTAGAACAGGCAAATCCACAGATCTGACAGAAAGTACATTAGTGGTCGCCAGGGGCTGGGGGGAGGCGGGATGGGAAGTGACTGCTAACAGGTACGGGCTGCATTTTAGGGTGATGCAAATGTTCTGGAATAAGATAGTGGTGATGGTTGCACAACTTTGTGGATATACTGAAACCCACTGAATTACACGCTTTTTAAAAGGGTAAATTTTATGGTTTGTAAATTACATCTCAATAAAGTTGATATTTTAAAAATTATGGTCTGCAAATGCCGGTAAAGTTGTAATAAAACCTGTAGACTCAAGTTGCTGGCCGCAGTTTAAATCGGCACAGCAATTTCACAAAGTGCTAAGCGAGCGGCAATGTGTAAGAGGTGGAGAGGTCTCCATAAGATGTATGGATTACTTTCCATAGCTAATGCTTCCACCATGGACATTTAGTAAACATCTAGTCGGCTGAGCAATGTATGGTTGTGCCCATATGGATGACAGGGGGAGTAAAGAGAATGCCTGCACCAGCGAGGAGGTGAGCAGCCCCCTGAGCCACCCAATTCCTGAGAAACATCCTTGGCTACAAAGTCCCAGGCACAGCATTCTGCACCAGGCAGGCTTGCCTGGGTCTTGGGAGCCAGCCAGGTTGGCTCTTCCTCACCGTTCGATTCATGGCTCTCAGTTGACAGTGTGGGGCCAAGGCTGCCTGCCACTGTTTCCCCTTAACGTTCTTCTGCCATTACACACACCTCCCCCCCGCACACACACACACATACTGCATACACACACCTGGCCTGGAAACTTCTACAAGCTTTTTCCTTGAATGTCAAGATTGCATGAGCCTGTCATCCAACAAAAACCCAAATGTCCTTCCTGGAGAGCTATTCCAAAGGAAGAAATCAAAGGACAAAATCTATGAATGTGCAGAGGTTCACTGCCCTATTAGCTTCGGTCGTAAAAACTAGAAAGTACCCAAGTGTGGAAATCAAGGAATATTATGATGGGACCCTCCCTTTGTGGAAGGTTTTGCAGTCATTAAAGTCAATCACCGTGGGGCGCCTGGGTGGCTCAGTCGTTAAGTGCCTTCGGCTCAGGTCATAATCTCAGAGTCCTGGGATCGAGCCCCGCATCGGGCTCCCTGCTCTGCGGGAAGCCGGCTTCTCCCTCTCCCACTCCCCCTGCTTGTGTTCTCTCTCTTGCTGTGTCTCTCTCTGTCAAATAAATAAATAAAATCTTTAAAAAAAAAATTTTTTTTAAGTCAATCACCGTGAAGATGGGTAGAAGAAGGAGAATGATAGGAAAGATGCTCAGAAGGAAAGCATGATGTTAACGCTTTGTGTGGGGAGTTCTGTGCACCTGCAAGGGACTGGAAGGCACTTGGGCCATGATGTTTAGGCACAGAGTCATACTAACCAGTCTCATAGAGTTTGATGTATAAACCAGACACCAAGGCGAGAATATGCTGTGAATCAGTAACTGCCCAGAAGGCTACTTTGTGCAAAAGCTTGGTCTCCAAGCTTTTGCTTTGGGAAAATTAAGCTGGGTAACCTTAAGCAAGTCCCATAAACTTCTCTGAGCTTTACCTTCTCACCTATCAAATGGGAGTGTCAGCTCATAGGTTGCGGTGATGATGTTGGGGTGGCAGAGGATTGGCTAGGGCAGGGCCTTAAAAGCACAAGAGCCAGAGGACACTCACCCTGGGGATGAGCCAGCCAAACTCGTGATTGTTGACACCCACGAGGAAGGGCACAGAGTAGAAGTGCCTGTCCCTCCAGAGTTCCATGGGGCTCTTGGGAAAGAAGGTGCCATCAACAGTGTAGGAAGCCGTAGTGTTCTGCAGGAGAAAGCAAGGCACGGGTCTTCCCAGTCAGGCCCATGCCTTAAAAGATGGCATGCGGGGGTCCCCCGGCTGCGTGCCTGGGTGGCTGAGCCTTAGAGGGGATAGAGGTCACCAGGGTTGGAGGACCAGGAGCAATAGGGAGACCAGGCAATGGATACTTCCAAGCAGACCTCTTTCCTAGAAGAGCTGGCCCTGCATTCATGCTCCCAGGCCTGCTTGGGCCCTCCATCCCTTCCCCTCAGGGGTGGCTGCCCCAACGCTCACCCCAGACTGCTGATTGCTTCTCTGCTCCCACAGGAGCTGGACGGACCCCTCTGCGCCATTGCCTGCCACCGCCCCCCGAGAGGTAGGCATACCAACTTCATGTTAAGGATTTGCTCTTTGCCATCTGCCGAAGGCACTGAAACATCTCAGCCGAAGAGGCAGAGCTGCAGCCCAGGGAGTCTGCGAAGCTCTGGGGACAGACAAGAGCCTGGCCTCTCCCTCACTCATCCACCCCCACCTTCCAGCCCTCTGCCTCCCACACACAATGGGTGTATCTGTGGGAAAGACGGGGCAGTGATGTCAGAGATGGGGACTCGGGACTGGCCAGAGACCTGCCGCCAACCCTGAGAAGGCTTCTTTGCCCACAGCTTGGGTGGTCCCCAGGCACCCCGTGTGTCCCCCATTACATCATACCATCATTATTTGTGCGGGTAGTGGAGTCCCCTTTACCCCTCTGAGAACAGTGTCATTATCTAGTTAACCATATTCCCAGAGCCAGCAGGCTCAGTCAAGTTTCACAGAGTGAGTTAAGGAAATGAGACAGGGTTCAGAGAGGAGGGATTCCAGCACGGCCAGTGTGGCGGGGAGGGGACGACAGAGGCTGCCGAGACCTGAGCCAGGCTGGGGAGTCAGCTCCCTACTGGTGACACCCTCTGGGACTTCAGGGCAAGCAAAGGGTGGCTGTGGCCGGCACACGTGGGGTGAGAGAGGCAAAGAAATGCCGACCAGAGCCAGGACCCTCGGGTTAGGATCCATTAACGTTGGCATGGTGACGCTCCCACTCTGAGCTATGGCCCTGTAGAAGAGCCCTGCAGCCAGCGGGGGCAGGACCTGGGTGCCGTGTTGAGGACAGGGGGCTGTCAGGGGAGGGCAGAAATGCTGGGTGGTCTGGGGCCACGGGAGATACTCTTGCCAGCCTGTGGAGACTCACCAGGGCAGAGACGATGCAGGCGCCAGCCGAAGCACCTAAGATGGTGACAGAGTTGAGGTCACCTCCAAAGGGGGAGATGTTCCCCTGCACGCAGTTCAAAGCAGCCACCGCATCTAGGAAGCCCCAGTTGCCAGCCGCATGCTCATCCCCAGTGCTAGGGGGCAGGGGGGAGGCAGTGGTTGGGGGAGGCAGTGGTTAGCGGAGGCGGCGGGGCTCTTTCTCAGCCTTTGCCTATTTGCTCCGAACCAGCCGCCGGGCCGGCAGACCCTTCCCCTTTCCCCAGGTCTGGCCTGGCTATGAGGCATGCTTCATAGCCCCCTGCCCAGCACGTGGTGTGGGGTGCCTAGCTGGGGGGCCAGCCAGAGCTTAGTGCTCCTTGCCCCCGCCCCTTGCTGGGATCCAGGCCCCAGACCACCAGTCAACAGTTCCTGTCCAAAGGACCAAGTTCTCTGTATGCTTCTGGCTTCGGGAGAGCCCCTTCCCCAGAGGGGAGCGATGGGGAGCCTCCTTCTCTGCCCCGGACGGCATTGGGGAAGGGTCCTTTGCTCTCCAGCCACCCTGCTTGCCTGAGAAATCTGCATTCAAGCTCTGGACCCCTACCCTAGTTCCCCAATTGCCCTCACAAGCTGGCCTCTCCCAGTGCCAGCAAAGCCCTACCCCAGGCTGGCCACCTCACCTGAGGAAGCCAAGGAACCCCAGGCGGTACTGGACGGTGACCACTACCACATCTCCGTAGGCAGCGAGGGCTGACCCGTCTTGGCAGGTGGCAGCACCCGCCACCAGAGTGCCTCCATGGATCCACAGCATGACCTGCAGAGAGGCCATGGGGCAGTGACCCCCAGCTCCTGGGACACCAGCTGCCCTCCCATCAACCCAGGGTATTCTTGGGGCCCCTGAGGCAGTATGAGAACGGGGCTGGGGAGGGGACAGGCCAGGCAGAGCCGGATGTGCAGACAGGGCCCTCAAAGCTGCACACCGGCCGCCTGGCCCCTGCAGGGGCCTCAGCGGGGCTGCAGCTGTTGAGGATCAGGCAGTCCTCTGAAACAGGTGCTTTCCATTCAACACAGATCTGCTGTTGTCCATTCTCTCCAGATCCTGCAGACACCTGTGGCCGGGGATGCGCCCAAGGGCCAGGGGGTCAGCCCATCAGCCCCGCCATCTAGATCCCTGCAACCTACCAGCTTGTCCACCTCCAAGGGGCTACTCACATCGCAGGGGCATTGCTGGTATCCCCCACACCCTCCCAGGACTGCGCTGGGCGCAGCTGAGAATCGGCCAGGCCCCAGAGGTGCCTGCGCGAACGGGAGGCCCAGGAAGACATTCACAAGGCGGTCTGTGCCCCTCATGGCCACCTGCCGGCCTCGCACGCGGCCCAGGGGGTGTCCACTTCAGGCTGTGTGACCTCAGGCCCTGCGGGCAGGACAGAGGGCCAGCGAATGAGTTTGCAGCCTCCACAGGTGATGGGGGGGGCCGGGCAAATGGACTCACTACACAGTGGTTCTTGGGGCACCTACTCTGTGAGCCCTGTTCTGAGCACTTTGCACACAGCACCGTGACTAACCTTCCCAGCAAGCCCGGGGGGTGGGCCCTATGATGACCCCCCCCTTTCTCCTCCCCCCTCGCAGGTCTGCCACTCTCCTCTGGGCCAAACCAATCCCCTGAGGGTGAACTAGGTTCTCCTGGGACCCACAGACCTGTCGTGGGGCTTTGGGCCTTGGGCTAGCCATTCACCCTCAGATTTCTCATCTGCTAAATTAAGTGTAATAACCATGTCTTTTCGTTTTCTTTATTTTGACATCTTGCAGACTCTGGAGGGACTGCGGGTTCCAGGGCTGGCCAGTCCTTAGAGATAGTAAACAACTCACTGAAAGGTGTCTTTCAGATGCGAACCAACCAATCCAGAGCCTGTGCCCCCAGCCACCTTCTCTGGGCTTCTCAGATTCCCCACCACTAACCACCTGCCCTAATCACCCCAGGGCCAGATACCAGATAATGAGGGACCGCCCCATGCCCCAGAGCCCACTGAGAACATTGGAATTAGCCAATCCAGAACCTGCTTAGCCCCCTGGCCGCTTTTTTCTGCAAACAATAAAGGTTCTTGCCCACGGTTTCCCCTCCCCTGCTCTGCCTCCTGACTGACCCATGCTTCCCTGCATGCCGCTTGTTTCTAGGACCTGGAAGGAAACCTTTCGTGACCCTCCCTTCTGTGTCTGTGTCTTGCTGATTAATCAAATCCTGGGTGCCCTGAAAACATAAGGACAATCATGTCCTCTGGCAGGCCTGCTCTGGAGACCACACATGACCACAGTGGCTGAGACCCAGCCCAGAGAGGATGCACACAACCCCTGGCATTTCTTGGAACTGAGGGCTTCTTCCCCGAGCAGGCTGTCCACCCCTCCCGGTCCCTGCCTCCCTCTTGCGCCTTCCACCCAAGTCCTCCCAGCAACCCTGAAGCTCCCCCCTCTGCAGGCTAAGCTGGCATGTCTTACCAGTGGCTGAAGCAGGGAATGCCAGGAGCAGACAGGGCACCCACAGCTGGACCCTGGACCCACTTCTTAACACTGTCCCCATGCTCCTCACAACTAACTGGGGGAAGTGGTGGAAGGTATAAGAAGGCCCTGCCCTTTGGCACAACCAATCTCTAAAGGGTTATGTTATAAAAACCTCAGTGGCCTTACGCATCTGGCTGGTGGCCAGCCCTAAGACCCAGTACCCAGGTGGGGGAAGGAGGGCTCAGAGAGTGCAGGGGCGTGGGTGATGCGATATTTCGTGAGGGGGGCGGGAAGGGGCGGGCAGGCAGGGGGGAAGGGTAAGAGTCTGGGCTTTGGAGCTCTGCAGCCCTGGGCTCAAATTCCAGCTCTCCTGGTTCAGTGAGCTCCACCAGACCCTGTGCGCTCATTACAAGAGACACACGCCACTGATCTGAGGGAGTGGTGGCCAGTGACTGGGCTGAAATTCCGAGGGAGCCCATGGCTCGGGGCAGAGCTGGTGTCCAGTCCTGCTGGCCAAGGGGGTGCCTGAGGATGTTGGATGGAGGGAACTGAAGGTGATCCTCTTTGTTGTTGTTGTTTTTAAATTGAGATTAAATTTATATAACATGCAATTAACTATTTTAAAGTATATAAATCGGTGGCACTTAAGTGTATTTGCAATTTTGTGCAATTACCACATCTCTCTAGTTAGAAAACTCTTTCATTGCCTCAGCAAAATATCCCATACCTGTTCAATAATCGCTCCCATTGCTACGCGACCCCACCCCCTGATAACCTGATAACCATTCGTCTGCTTTCTGCCTCCCAGGATTTTACCTACTCAGGATATAGCACATAATAATAACCAGGCAATATGTGACCCTTTGTGGCTGGCTTCCTTCACTTCACGTAATGTTTCTGAGGTTCAATCAAGTTGTAGCACATATCAGTCCTTTGGTCCCATTTTATGGTCGAATAATAATATTTCACTGTATGGCTATATCACAATTTGTTTTTCCATTCATTCAATGATGGGCATTTGGGTGGTTTCTACCTTTTGATTATTCTGAGTAATACTGCTACAGATACCCATGTACAAGTTTCTGTGAGTTCCTATGTTTTCATTTCTCTTGGCTACATACACTTAGGAATGGCTTGTGGTCACCTGGTAATTCTGTGTTTAATGTCTTGAAGGACCGGCAAGCTCTTTTCCATTGTGGCTTGCTGATACCCTTGTAAAGCCTCAGGGCCTTGGGCCTAGGTGGCCCTGCCACAGGGCCCCAGGACTGAGGATGCCCAGGGTGTGTTTTGGGCGTGATTTTCTCATGTCCGCCCCCTCTCTTGAGGCTCCTCAAGTAACAAGGCAGAAGCAGGGCACTGCCCTCAAGAGGCCCTCGGGCTCCTGGCGGGAGGATCTGAGGTCTGCAGGTAGAGAGAGTGGAGGAAGAGGAGCAGGAAGCTTCTTATTCACAACTCAAATCCTACTCTGCATCCCAGAATGACGTGATTTAAGGGCCAGACCTCCTGCGTTCAAATCCCGGCCCTGCCGAGCACTGGCTGTGTGACTTTGTACCCAGAGCCCTGGGTCTGGTTTTGTCGTCTGGGAAACAGTGATGATTCTAGGAAGCACCTCACGGGGTCTGAGGTTACATGTGTGAAAACACAAGACACGGAACCAGAGCCACTGGACGTCTGTTCTTACCTCAGGCCAGGCGTCTGTCAGGGTGTCTGTCTCTCTGGGACAGCCTCTACCCCAAATAAAGGCAGGACTCACCTCTGGGCCTTGGTGTCGGGAGCACGGCTGGCAGGGAGTTGGGATGGTGGGGGGGATGTGTGGGGAGTGCGGGGGACTGGCAAATATTTACTGATTCGAACAGAAGTGCTGGCTCAGTGAGGAGCTGGGTGAGGGTCATGCCTAGACAAGATGCCAGATTCTCTCCTGGGGTTCCAGCTGGCACTCAGAGCTGGAGGGACCCAGGATCAAACTTCCCTCCCGGATTGTCTCTGGCAGGCTTCCAGGTGGGGTCCATCCCTCTCCCTGCAGCTTGATCCATAGGTACATGCAGGAGAGCACGAGCAAGGACGGGAGAGAGACAGGGACAGAGAGACAGAGAGAAAGACACTGAAACGGGGAACCAAGCACAGTAAGATATCACTACACACCCACTACAATTAATCAACGGTAGAAGACTAAGACCAAGTGTTGACAAGGCTATGGAGCAATCAGAACCCTCATAGGTGGCTGGTGGGGCACAAACATGGTACAGTCACTTTGGAAGACAGGTTGGCATTTTCTTTAAAAGTTAAACATGCACTTGCCATATAACCCAGCAATTCCACTCTCAGCTATTTCCCCCAAAGAAGTGAAAACACTGGGTGAGTGGGTGGCTCAGTCGGTTAAGCATCTGCCTTAGGCTCAGGTCATGATCCTGGGGTCCTGGGGTCCTGGGGTCGAGCCCCCGCATCGCATTGCATCTCGGGCTCCTTGCTCAGTGGGGATCCTGCTTCTCCGTCTCCCCCTGCCCCTCCCCCCTGCTCGTGTGTGCTCTCTCAAAGAAATAAAATCTTTTTAAAAAAAGAAATGAAAACATATGTCCACACAAAGACCTGTCTCAAAATGTTCACAGCAACTTTAATAAAGCCAAAAAATAGAAATCACTCAAATGTCCATTAATTGGTGAATGGAAAAAAATGTAGCATACCATATATGACATACTACTTTGCAACAAAAGGAAACCACTGGTTGAATCTCAGAAACATTATGGTAAATGACAGAAACCAGTAATAAATGATTCCATTTCTATGACATTCTAGAAAAGGCAAACTATAGCAATAGAAAGCAGTTTGGTGGCTGTGTGGGACCAGGGTCGGGGCAGTGATTGACTGCAAAGGGGCACGAAGGAACTCTTTGGAGTTTAGAAACATTCTAAAACTTGAGGGATGCCTGGATGACTCAGTCAGTTGAGCGTCTGCCTTCGGCTCAGGTCATGGTCCCAGGGTCCTGGGATGGAGTCCTGCATCGGGCTCCCTGTTTGGCAGGAAGCCTGCTTCTCCCTCTGCCTGCCGCTCCCCCGGCTTGTGCTCACTCTGACAAATAAATAATATCTTAAAAAAAGAGAAACATTCTAAAACTTGATGTGATGGTGGTTGTATGTCTCATATATTTAGCCAACTTTGTGAAACCGTACACCTAAAGGAATTTAATTGTATGTAAATTATTCCACAATAAAACTGTTTAAAAAATAAGATGACTAAAAAACTAATACTGGGAACCCACTTTTGGAAAGTATATTGTGCATCTGAAGGACTGAAAAACATACAGAGGCATGCATGCAGTGGGTGCTCAATAAATGCTTTCAGGATGCAGGAGAAGCATTATGCACCAGTGTCCCCTAAAAGGAAAGCCCCTCCCCTCTCCCTAGTTCAAGACGGCCCAGGCTTAAGGTTACTCTTGTCTGCCATCTGGTGGCCAGTCTCCATCCTTCAGACCCCACTTCCGGAGGCTCTGTGGTTAGGCTTACAGGCAGTGGAGGGAAGGAAGGGGGCTTTCCTCCTGGAAAATCTAGTGCCTGGAGAGGGCAAGTTGGTCAGAGGCAGGGGCACAGCAGGACTCCTAGGTCTATGAGAAGAAGGAGGCTGTAGCCTCTTAGAGAAAAAGTGCTTTGATAGAGCAAACAGGCTGTGAACACAATTTGGTATCTCTGCACACTGAGATCAAATACTGTGTAAGAGAGGGTTTCCTTTGCGGGGGGGGGGGGTCGGATAAGGTGAGGGAAGGAAAAGTTTAGGGGAGGCAATGGGGTAAGCAGGAAAACTGATCATGTGGATGCCCACGGTGAGTTGGGGGAAGGTCAGCAGAGGGTGGGGGAATGGTTGACAAGGAGTATTCCAAAAGGAAAGAGATCTCCTTGGATGGAGAGACATTTGGAACCAAGGAGAAAAGAGTCTCTTCTCCTGGACTTTCTGGTCTCCCAATCCTACTTCCAGGGAACATCTCACAGATAAACATCTGTATTGATGTGCAGCAATTGTGTAAAGTTTGCCCTCCCCCTCCCCCAGCTGTGTCACAGAACCACTGAAAATAAAGGCAGACTTCAGGAGGTGGGTGGCTGAGGGACCCATCTGGCTCTCCTGGCCACTGAACAGCTCGCCCAGGCTCCAGGGGCCCATGGACAAGCTCAGTCTTCTTACAAAAAATGGAGTCGGCCACCTTGTGTGACACAGGTAAGTGACTGGGTGGGTGTTTAAATGTAAGTGGTAGATGACATTTCGTCTAGGAGACAATGGGTGGGGACGGGGACTTCTACATCCTCAGTAGTTGGTGGCCTCGATGGCCAAGATCTCGGAGCTCCTGGGTTCCTGGCATCCAGATTTTCTACTGGCTCTGTACAAATATGGGAGCACGTGGGGCTTGCTGAGAGCCAGGTGTGGGTAACACTTCCCAAAGCACCCTCCTTCAAAGGGAGAGGGGAGGGAGGGTGGGGGTGGGGGAGAGGGGAGGAAGAGGGGACGGGGCCTGAGGCTCGGTGCGGTGTGAATTTCCATTGGGGTTTGCCAATGGGGGGATTCACTGAGTGCGTCTAACATGAGAGGACCTATGGGGGCTTGGCAACTAACAAGATGCGGTAGGTTCTTAGTAAATGCTGGCTGGCTGGCTGGCTGGCTGGCTGGCAGAACGAATGAATGGCTAAGGGAAGGAAGGAAAAGCCCCTGGCTCCTCAGTGCATGTGTGTGGGTATATCCGGCAGACCCCCACCTGCACTCGAGCCCCCCCTCCCCGGCCCTTCAGCCCCAGACACAGGAAGCTACAGCTCTGTGTGCTTCCCCTCCGCCTCCATTAGCTCCCGTGTCTTCTGGGGTAGGGTCTTCGTCCAGAACTGAAGCCTCTGGGCCTTCAGGGCCCGGCCCACTGCAGGCTGCGTGTTCAGCTGCAGGTACTGCTCTTCCTGGTCGAACACGGGCCAGTGGGGCAGACCCTCGCCGTTGGGGTCCCTGTAGACATGCCCACCCAGCAGGGCAGGGGGAGAGTCACTCGGAGCCCTGCTGAGCCCAGACCTGGCACCCCAACTGGGGTCAGGCGAGGTGCCAAACAGGCCAGGT